TGCCAGGGCAGCTGCACTACTGCTGCACTGCAGTTAGTGCTAAAAAGCACACAGAACAGCATTATGTTAAACTCTCACAGAAGAGTTTAGAGGGAAGACCTGTGACTTTGCTAAGTCACTGAAATGGACTTGTACAACTGAACTTACACAAGACAGCTGAGGTCTGCCAAGTCATCAATGAAGTCAAACAACTGGCTGATATCGTATGTAATGGATGGACTGTTGGGATTCATTCTCTTCAGATGCTCTTCATACATTTTACAGACTCCTACAGAGAAACAAGATCAACCATGCAATATTAAAAGACTGTATAAGCTGAAACTTTTTCAGCTCTTGATCCACAAATAAAAGTTTAGAGATTACCACTGTAAAAGCAATCAGATTTTCTAGAGCTGAAATTCTCTTTTTCCTGGCAATTCGCATTGAAACGTAATACTATAAAATCAGGTAAGATACACGGAAAGAAAAGTCTTCATCATCTAGGGGAAAAAGTTTAGTTCTGTCAAATATTTAATTTTCCATGCAGTAAGCTCCAACAGACATCTGGAACTCCTTCTAAAAATTTTAAGACAGAAATTAGAACACACTCCTACTGCACAAACACCCGAGAAACAGAAGAACTCATAAGAATGATCATTCTTGATGCAAGAGTCAAACAGAGTATTGAGGTAAGAGTGACAACACAAACCTGTATGCACATTTAAAACACTTTCATTTATTTAAACTAGTCCACTAATAATTCAGATACACTTGAGAAGAATGTAATATTAAAATGAGCACAGAGACTTTGTTATACTTTTGTTTGCCTCACAAAACCTCCTGCAAGATTAATGCTAAGTGAACTACAGCTCTAATATTTCAATTTTCTTACAATGGCCATTATGTGTATCAAAGTTTTGCAGATCTTTACTCTGACACATGTGCCACGAGACTGCAAATGATGTATCAATTGCACACAATCCATTATTTAATATAGTATTGCCAGCAGCAATCTTTTCCTTACAATGCTAAGAAAAGAATAGTGAGAATTAAGTGCTGATCCTGCAATGAAATGCATTGAAACAAGTCTGCTGCATGAAAGAAAGAATATCAGCTACTCTCCCAAACTGGATGTTTCATCTAGTTAAATCAAAACCAGACATTAAATAGAAAAAGGAAATTTTAGAAACAAATAATAACTAGTTTTTAGTTTGCTAGAACATCAGTAAGCTAAAAACATGAGGGGTTTTGTGAATGACCTTTGAAAAATATGAAGAGCAACTTATTTTCTTATTAAATTTGTGAATATGTCAAAAATAGGATTTTAACAACAGTTTTTAACACCCATGTCTGTGTCCACCCACCTTCCATGCATTCATTCACCGATTCATAATCAGCATATGTTCTGCCTTCTGGCCTCTTGGTAGGCTGGACAAGTAGAATTGTGTGAGACTGGAAAACAAAACAAACACAAAAACACAGGTTACTTGCACACTTTGAATGATTTTTGTTCAAGTTATTTCTATGAAAGAAGGAGTAAAAAGACGTGTAATGGTAAAGTATTAGACTAGCAATCAAGGACATGGACATTTTCCACACAGCATTTACTATTTATATAAGCTGTGTTACCAAGTTTTGGTTCCAACAAGTCCTATCAATCCTTATGGAACTTTAAAATGTGTAGAATCACCAGTAAAGCCACTACTGTGTTGGAAAAAAATACCACACAAAGGGTTTATATTTAGACAGATAAGCAAAGCAATAAAGTCAATGTGTAAGAGCTGTGACATTAGTGTGTTTAATTATTTTATTCCAAATGCAAGCTGTTAGTAAAATTTTCAATGCCCCAAATATTTTTTCTGAAAATTTTAGTTAGAGCAAAGAGGGGACCCAACTTAACCACACTGTCACCTGAAAGATTTTAACAGAATTAGCTATTTTGAGTTATTGATTTCCCTTCAAGGGAACACTAATGCTACAATAAATCTGCACTTAGCACCCAAGATTATTTCTTGCAAAACAGATGTACTGGTTTTTCCCACTTCAATGAGTTTACTCAAACAGTAAGTACAGCACAGAAAACTGTTCCAAATGTTGGAGTCCATAAGCTTGTTCTTCTGCAGGGAAGGCTTAGATGACTGCACACTCTGTGGCTTCCATTATTTCCATAACATTTTTTACTTGGCTACAGCAAGTAATTTGAGCAAAGAAGCGAGATTTTTAAAGTGTACACAATCTGTGATCTAATTAACAGGTTGCATACCACAGAAAGTTTGCAAGCAAGCTGCAAATGGCCGTTTCCAGTGCTGCTAATTGGATCCAACATTTTCAGTGCTAATGTCTGAGGTGAGCACATAGCACAGAGGCAACGGCAGAGTAAGACATCCTTTGGCTTAGATTCATCAGTGGCTGACAGAAAAATCCTGACCCATACTTTGGAAATCGGTGAATATACCAATTCAGTGCTTGTGAAAAGCAGTGACAGAAAGAGAATCGGCAAATGTTAGGATTTACAGGGAAAAAAACCCAAACAACAGGACAAATTCTTATCCCATAACTGACAGTGTTCCCATCCTTGGAATACAGTTTTCAGTGCTTCAAATTGTCTCAACACAGCAGTAGCAGATTCTGAGAAGTTCGGGAAAATGTTGCACAGAGAAAAAGAAGGAGCAAGACTTTTCCTAATCAGAAATGGAAAAAAGGGGAATTCTGAGCTGCACGCTCTAGCAACAAAAATCATGCAAAGGAGAGTAGATAATTTCAATCCACTTTCATGTATGCCAGAGGATGATTGATTTGAAGGGAATTCCCCAAGGGGAGCTGGTATCTGGCTGTTCCAAGTGCATTGTACTTGAACAGGCATGTCTTAGCAGGGAGCCCAAATGACTGCCAAAGATTACCATAAAATAATTTTTCCAGCACTATCATTTTAATTAGATGGTCAATGAGGGGTGATAAATGAATGTATAAATTCTGAAATTCTCCAAATAATCAAATTATAGAAAAATTAATGAGCCAGACATGTAAGCAGTTCCTTCAGAACTTTGCAGCAGAAATAATTTGGGCTTCTGCCTTTAAGCCATTTATCATTTCAGACAATATACAATACCTGTTATCAGATACTGGCCCAGGAAAATATTTAAATTAATGCCATTGGATCACGTGTATTGTAGAATTAATGCTTTTCAAACATTTCTTTGGGAACTTGACATTATTTTACTTTAAAGGAAAAAAAAATTGCTTGATTTGATAAAATTGCTGGTCCTGTCCTACCATATAGTTGCAAAAAAATGGCAAGCTCAGAAGCCTGTGGGAAGGCTCCTCTGTTACCTGCCCCATGTGCCTAGGTGACAAAACCAAAACAAGGGAAGATCCATAAACCTTTCTGCCTTAGCACCAGTTACCTGGAGAAACTCACTCTGGACCGTTATTATGATGATACATGCGTCGAATTTCTTTGCATTTTCCTTAAAAGCACAGTGGTACTGGCTGCTTTGAAGCAGGACACGGAATGAGACACCGCATGGTTTATATTATACCAATTCCAAACTTCTAGAGAGCACTTTAGAAATTGCTCCTGCTACTGAAGGCAGAACCCTGTACAACTGGTTAAGGCAGTGCCAAGAGCCAAACCAGCAGGACTTAAAAGCTATGCAGCATCTGCCCAAAGAGACTTCCACCAATTGTAGTGTATTCAACAGTAAAGTGAAAAAAAGAAAAAAAAAAGCCCCGATACAATAAAAGTGGAAGATAAACGCATATTATAAGGGTAAGATGTGCAGTGATGCAAATACCAAGCAGCAGCGCACTGAACACACCGAAATGCCAGGCAGAAAAAGTGGTCTATGGCCCCCCTTTCATCCCGGCCAACAGGGACAGGGCCTGTAGCTGCTCATCATGGCCGAGCAACTGCTCTGGAGCAAGAACCAGGCAGACATGGAACGTCGCTGCAAACGGACAAGCAGCTGTCCTCCCACCGCACAGCGACAACTTGCTTCAGCACAGCTTCATTTATTACATGAGCGCAACAAACTGCAATGATCGGGAGCCCTCTGAGCTCCAGCGTGCCATTCTCAGAGCCCACCGACGCAAGCTCCCGCCTTTCCCTCCTCCGAGCAGAGGGGAGGAGCAGAGAGAGCAGCATGGAAAGCGCAAATCAGCCATTTAAGGCCGGCTCGCTCGGCGGGCGACACTCGCGGGAAGCGCTGGGCTCCGAGCAGCGCCCTGAGAGGGGCCCGAAGGAGCCGGGGAGAGGGGCGGGAGCCTCCAGGATCCGCTCCCCGAGCGCCGCCGCCGCCTTTGTGCCCCCGCCCCGTCCGGCCGTGCCCCGCCAAAACGTGCAGCCGCCCGCCCGGGTCCGCACCACCGGCCGCGGCCTTCCCGCCCGCAGTGCCCCGGGGGACAGGGAGGGGAGGCGAAGGGAAGGCTGCCCTGGCGGGCGCGGTGCGCACGAAGCGCGGCGATCCGCTCCCGTCCCGCTCTCACCATGGCGGCTCCGCTCCCTCAGCACCGCCGGGCAGAAGTGGCGCGCGGCGATCCCCCACAGGCCCCCGCGCCCGCCGGAAGCGCCGCCGCGCCAACGGCCGCCACCATAGAGCCGCTCGCGCCAGAGCGCCGCGCGCGCACGCGCCCGCAGGGCCGGCGGCCAGGCTGGCGGGGGCGGGGCGCGGCCGCCGCCATCTTTGGTGAGGGAGCCGCTCGCGGCCCATCGCGGGCCGAGGCGCCGCCCGCCATCTTGGAGTCGGGCAGCGCGCGGGGCGGGGCGGGGCGGGCACGGCCCGTCCCGTCCCGGAAGGGGAAGCGCCGAGTGCCACTTGGCCGCCGGGGCGGCGGAGTGGCTGCGCGGCTGGCGGCGCCGGTCCGCACGGTCCCCTCGGCCCCGCCTGACGCTGCCCCGCCGTGAGGAGTCGCCTGCGTGCTCGCCGTCCCCCAGCCCTGCCTCCCGCCTCCCCTGGGAGCAGCACGGTGCGGGCGAAAGTTCCCCCGCCTCAGGTGAGGGCCGGGCCCGCCTGCCCGTGGCCGAGCCGCTCCCGCCCCCTGGCCGCGCACCCCTGGCTGGGGGCCGAGCCGGCCGCTGCCGCCGGGAGACAGAGACATGGCCGAAAGCCTCTCCTGCGACCTCCGTGTCTGCACGGGTTAAGGCGTGCGCTGCGGAGGGGCGGAAAAGTTGCTGTTGGATTTCACTTCAAGGGAGCGGACAGAAAGCGGCGAAATGGATGACTTCCCCTCCATCTGCCTGCTGTCCCTGGCCATGCTGGTCGCCTGCTATGTGGCAGGAATTATACCCTTGGCAGTTAATTTTTCCGAGGTAAGACAACTCCGCCAAACTGCTCGTTGGTTGCTAAAGGAGGAACCAGAGAGGTCTCCCAGTGGGAGTTGGTGCCGTCCCCTTGTAATATGGCAACGCTGTTAAGGATGAAGCTTTATCTTTAAAAGTTATGAGGGCAGTATTAATTTTCATTCAAAACTGGTGTGTAAAATTATGCTTGTTTCACAGTGGTCATTTAAATTCGTCAGATTTGAGTCGAGTCTGCTACAGGTGAAGCGAAGTATCAGCACGTAGTGTAAGGACACGAGTAAGCATGGCTATTCTTAGAAGCTTGTGTAAGAAATGGCTGAAGTCAGTGATTATCTCTTTTGTGCCTGTGGGCTACTCAAATTAAGGCTCTTAAAAACAATTCAAAGAACATTCTTGGAAAGACTTTGATTCACAATTTTACTCACAGCTTGCACTGTTGAAAATTAAACCTTAGCTCTTTGATTACTGTAGAACTTCAAGTTACTGCCCTGTGTAACTCAAGGCATTTTTTCAGAAAAATATCTAGGATAAATAAGGTACTGTTAAAGGAGAGGGAGGGTTTCGTAGTTTGAGTAAGTTCCCAAACAGTACAGGAGTTCCTGATTAAACATCTTTGTGTACTTCTAGGAAATAGTTATTGAGGTGGTGGCGGTTGTCACAGTCTCTGTAGGCTTCCTAATATCCTCTGACACCCAAGGGGTTTTGCTCTTTCTGAATGATGGTAATTTTATAGAGGCATGGTGTAGTGAGAGTTTAGTTGTGGTAGTAAGAGCACTCTTATAAGGGATTCCCATTTCTCTTGGGAAGCAAGGTGCTGGAGGAGAAATGTGCCTTTGTCCTCCACCAAGTCAGAGGGCTGCATGGAGTTTCAGCACTGCTTACTGTGTTGCTCTTTGCATGTTTTTTAACATGTAGGCTGTTCTTATTAAATTTGTGTCTTCCCTACACCTAGCTATTTTGCACTGAAAAGGAGATGGAGACTTGCCTTGAAATGATAACTTGTTCTTTTAATGGATCTTTAAAATTCACAGGTGCCCAAGTGAAGGCAAGCTATACTATATATTTGCAGTTCTAATAAATCAGTATTACTTCTGACACTTTCCTCTGTGTTTATGTGTGTATGCAAAAAATACTGTAATATTGCAGATAAAAATAGTGGTTTTTCCTTGTATGTTACTATATTTTTGCAAAATTACTTTCTGAACAGCAGATGTTGAAAATTTATCTTCTCGTGTAGATTGCCACTGTATGACAATTTCCCAAGTGTAATTATTGTATGTGCAAGTTTACAGTGCATGTTTGTGGGAGCTTTACACTTGTTTTCATCTCTTGCATTTTACTGTTGGAGCTGTCCCCAGTAATGCTGCAGCTGTTCCCTTATGGTCACGTTTGGTTGGCTTTCAGGAAGCTGGGTGTGCATCTCCTAGAGCATCCTGCAGTGAGCCTGAGCAGTTGGTGTGGCTGCAGTGCATGAAGGAGAACGGGTGGCACAATAACGATAAGCAACAAGTGCTTTCCTGCTGTTCAAATGCTGCTCTCTGTCCCTCAGTGGTTAGCATTAGTGTTTTGGTGGTGCTCAGACCTCTCATTGAACATGGGAGGTGATGGTGCTTCTGCCACTGAGTGTGTGCTGCGCAGCTGTTAGGGGATCTAAACTCCCCTGGTTGCTACGTGTTGTATGATAGGGGTTCTTACAGAAACTGAGTCATGGCCTCTGCTGACTGTCCTGTTACATGTTTGTGTAATTGGATTTTAGTACGTGGCTTTGACTTTAACCTGGCAGCATAGTCAGGAGGAAGTGAATTGATGAGTTTATTGGTGAAACAGAATGTAATTAGTTTGGGAGAAAGATGCATTTAAGCTTTTTGTCTCAAACTAGAATACAACGAGGAAGATAACTCTAATCGTAACAAGTACTAAAAAACTATGTGGGGTTTTTATTTTTGTTATAGAAATTATTCCAAAAATATGAATAAAATCATTATTCTTTACTATTAAAGCATAATGTTTATATATTGTTGTTAAGGTTTAATTGCAAATTCTCAATATTTGTGTAACAAGTAACCCCCTTCCCCAACATCTGTTAATAAGGGAGAGTAAAGAAAGTATTTTCATTCTCAAAGATGATACTTGTTTTGTACTTAATTACAGGAGAGATTGAAGTTGGTGACTGTTCTGGGTGCTGGGCTCCTGTGTGGAACTGCCTTGGCTGTCATTGTGCCAGAAGGAGTACATGCACTTTATGAAGACATTTTGGAGGGTAAGAATCAAACCCAGATGGCCTCATTCAAGATAACTTAGACTGTGGTGTGTTCTGATATACTGAGGCTTCTTTTTGGATTTTTTAAGAAGAGATTGATGGAAGAGCTTCGCAGCAGCATGACACAAAGCAGGCATAGAAATGCAAAACCACTATAGGCATGAAATTGCACATTGAGGGATATGATCATGCAGACTGATGACTCTTACTGAGTTATCCAATCATTTCTGGCTCTGGATACTGTACTGTTCCTGGAATAACAGCCTTTTATGACAGGTCATATGTAGTGTTTCTTATTCTGGGGAGAGTTTAACTTCCCCTGGAACTTCAAAGGAGGTGTAAGGGTGCCTTTGGCAGAGAATGAAATTGTGGAGTATTCGCTGCTTTCTCTTTGTAGCTTAGACTGCTTCTCTTTAAGCAATTGCAGGAGATGTTTTACAAATCCCTGCCCTAATAAGAATTTCCTCTGAAGCTGAAAAGCATCTTGGAATAAATATACTTAGCTGAAAATTATGGTTATATATTATGGTTATATACCCATATGGTTATGGCTAATTTACACAGTAGGAGGCATTTCTTCTTGGGTAGGATATACATTACAGATCTAAATCTCTGTGTTCAAGCATCCAGTTCTAGTCTGCTGTCACTGTTGTAACCACCTTATCATCTCTAATGAAGAGCTCAAGTGAGCAGAGATTGTGTCTTGCAGGGATGTTTGTGTGGAGCATGTCTTACAGCCAAAAGCCTTAACAGACCTCAATTTGAGATTCTGACGTTGTTTCAAGTGCCAGGGCTCATCACCTCTGTTGGGAGTGCACTTTAAATTTAGGTTTTGCTTGCAAACTTGTGCTATGAGATGACCATTGCATGTATGACATTTTTCCAGTACACTCAGAATCAAAACTTTGAAGGTAAATGGCAATGGCTTCCTGATGGCAGGGGAAAGCACCATAAAGTTGATGCTGTAGAGAACCTTGCAAACATCTGGTGTGCTGCTGTTGCTAATTTGGGATTGAGAGGCACCTGTAGTTCTTTGCTTTTCCTGTAGTTTTGTGGGTTTCTAAACTTCTAAACTAAAACTGGGTTTTATGTTTCTAAACTTCTAAATTCCATTTTAGCAATATGCTGTAATGTATACTGTTTTAGCTTCCACTAAATTTATGTTGTTCTGCTTAGATTTAGAATAAATAGGAGATAATATATAAAATCATCCTTTATCAAGAAGTGAAAGAAGCTCTGATTATGCCTTTATACTATACTATAATTTGTGCACTCTGATGTCAGATGTCTCTAATGAGCTGTAGTGGGTTTGCTCTCCACTCAGTTTTAATTCTGAGTTGACTGATTTTCTCTTGTAATGGCACAGCTAGCAGTGAGTACAATTGCTGTGACCATTGATGGGATTTAACACTTTTTCCCCAGATGGGGCATACTGTTCATGTCTGACTCACAGCTTGCTGTGTAGAGCTGCATGGGCTGTGGCTTTGTTTAGTGTATGGCAAAAAGGCACTTCACAGTACTGCAGTTGTAATAGCAGCAGTATTTACCTAGAGGAAAAAGGTTTTTTTTATATTGCAAAGGGTCAGAACTAATGGGTATGACAGATTTAACTACAAAAATTATTTCTAATATGTTTCCTGATAAAGTAGGATATTCAAAATTAAACTTAAGACTATGAGAACAGCTTTCTGGGGTTTTTTTCCAAGTTCACCTATTTGCATAATTAAACCTAGAAAGATGCAACTAGGGGAAACTTTGAGATGTATTCATATAAGTGGAAAAACAAAAAGAGAAATCTTTGTTTTCCCTCTTTAAGGTATAGCTTAACTCTGATTGGTTGCTTGATAGTGAGCATTTTAGTGTTTTCCATTGATATGGAAGTAATTTACTATTACTTCTGTATTTCCCTGTGGGTAAACAGACTGTGGAATAAATAACTTCTGATTTTCAACCTTGTAGGCTGAGAGAAAATAGCATATCATGACTTGGATTATTCTTTGATTATAAACCTGTGTAGTGAAACCTTGGTTTGGGTGCTACCAGCAAATAAAATTCCTTTGCTGACTTCAGTCCTTTGTTTTAACTGCTGAAACTGTATAATCCCTGTCAGAAAGATTGTCCTGAGTTATACAGTTTTATGGCTTGAAATGATCTGAAGCAAAGTCACTTCATACTATAGATGGCAGAAATCTTGTGTGGTCCAAAGTAATTTTATTGATGAATATTGTTCAGCAAAGATCTGTGTGAAATCTTTGCTACCAAGCTTATTCTGATGTGCTTTGACTGTAGCAATGGCATTGTGGCATTTTGTATAGTGGGATGAACATACACTTGTCTCATCCAAGAGGAAGTATGAATATTCCAGCAAGACAATGACTTGATAGAGTAAGTCAAGTTCTTGCTATAAGTTTTTAAAGCTTGTGAAGAGTAGTTGCCATCCAAAAGACCTTCCAAAAATGAAAAAACCTTGGGCAAGCTTTAATAGCTGGTGTAGGGAAAGGAAACCACACATCATTCATCCCCAGGGCGTGGACTTTGGGTTTCTGGGATGGTACTGACATTTGTAGGTCAGTGTGCTTGACTTAACCATTGTTGTAGTCTGTATCAATGGGGTGTATCAATACTAGCTTGTTTGCATCTCAGCATCAGTTAATCTTCTTAAAGATGGTATTAAATCTTTTAGTGGATGGAGCCTATTTTATTTTCTCACTCAAATGAAGGTAATGAAGTAACTGCTTGATGGTCTCTGAATATTGACAAAACAGGCAACTTCAGTTAAAACAGGAATTATACAGCAATTTTTGTGAATTAATTTGTATTTAAAATGCAACCTGGCTTATAACATATTAATGCTTTCTTTGCTTTTCCATGCTGAAGATGTATGAGGAGAAACCAACCGGGCTTTGCTAAGAACATTGTCTAAAAAAAGAGCATAAGCAAGGACTTGTGTGTATTGTCCAGGAAAGTGTGAGGAAGGCTTTTGGCAGGAGAGGGAAGTGCCTGTGTGGTGTTGAGAGTGCTGATGTGTTTGCTTGCTGTCGCAGGGAAGCACCACGCGGCGAGCGAGATGCAGCACGTGCTGGAGTCCGAGAAGGCAGCGAACGTCCCGGCGGCGCACGAGCACGGCCACGACCATTCCCGGCTGCACGCCTACATCGGGGTGTCCCTTGTCCTCGGCTTTGTCTTCATGCTCCTGGTGGATCAGATAGGCAGCTCTCATGTGCACTCTGCAGATGGTAAGTGAAGGCTCACTTCAGTTGGACTTGCTAAGTAGTCTTAATTAACAAGTTGAAATTTATTTATTTTAATGCTACCAGGGTGTAATTTGTCCAGTCATGTCCAGAGTTTCAGTAGGTACTTTAAAAACATAAACCATATACCAAGGTCCATGTGAAATGTTTATGCTGGAAATCTATCTCAAAATTCACCATAATTTGAGAGCTTGCCTCAATAACATGTATGAGCACATGTGGTGTAGGGGTGGAGGGTGACTTGACACTTGAATTACTGTCTGGTTTTGGGGGATTTCTTTGGCTTTTCAAAAAACTTCAGTTAGTCTTATATTTGTTTGTTTTTCCTACTTAATTGTCTTGTATGTTGGTAAAATTTGCAAAGATAACAAGCAAGTTATCTTAAGCAAGATGGCAGGAATGATTAGATGTAAGCTCTGGTATTTGAGCTGCATAGCTGGACCTCCCACACAAGTCTAAAGCCTCACATACTTCAAAATACTTCTTGCTTTGTGTAAAGATTTGTCAGCCTACAGTTGCCATTGTTTCCTGCCTGTGACTTTATGCTCAGAGTGTAGCTTGAAATGCACCAAAGGTGTTCTGTCATTTGAAAAGGTATTTTATTGCCTTTGGCTGCTCATTTTCTCCCACACAACATCTTCTGATGCTGGAATTTGGCCCTGAAAAAATAAGAAATTGATCTTAAAGGAAAAGTAAGACACATACAAAGGCAGGGGGATATGTTTTGGCTGGATTTCATCAGTTCACAGTGCAGCCTGTTTTTATGGGGACACTGTGGTGGGACAGATGAAAGGCCAATGCAGGGGCTGTGTTTCTTGTGTACTCCTGAAGAAGTGTAAGTGGAGCCACAGCCATTAGTAGCTGATTTTCAGAGCTGTTCTAAAGAAACACTGGCAATGAGGATGTCAGGGAGATACAGGTGAGCAACTTCCTAAAAGATTCTTGGTTTGTATGGGTTATAACCCTTTTCTGTGTCTCTGATCATAGCAAGTACCAGGACAGGGCTGTGATCTGTGTTAGAGATACACACTACAAAATAGGATTATAAGTGAAGTTTTATCTAGCCTCTACCTGTCACAGGAGATGTAACAGTGTTTTTGTAATGTTTTTTAAAGCAACTGAAGAAAAACACTCTTTTCTTGAACCAATCAATGTCTTGTAGTTTATTACCTATCAAGTGACTAGGTGTTACTTTGTTTAAACTAGAAAAATTCAGTAGGCCCGAAGGAAGGTGTGAAGTCAAATGTGATTCTTTGTGTTTAGTTATCAAAAAAATCAAATCAATCCAAAACAATTGTAAAGGAAATGTTTTTTTTATGAATATCTCCTCCTGTTTGACATGAGTGTACCATTGCCATCATGGAAGTGCAGCTTGTGGAATTAATTACTCAGATGGCTTCCCTTTCATTCAGAAGATAAAGCTGACCAAAGAGGATGCATTAGTTTAGATCTGACTCACTGGGAAGCTACATGTGTGCCTGGGAATGAAGAGAGACTTGGGGGTAAATGGGCAAGGCAGGAGGAAAGAAAAGGACTGGAATTTCTGTTTTGGCATCACTGCAGAGTTACAGCAGGTGTGCTTACAGCTGTTTTACAGAGCACTGGGATAATTCACACATGGCTGCTGAAACTGTCTGAAATTAAACAATTGAATAGTAAGATGTTTCTACACTATGTAGGGCTTACCCACCCTGCAGTGATTCTTTGTAATGGTTTCACCACTGATTGTGTAGTGGTGGATATTGATGTTGCCCTGTTGTGCTGTGTAATGAGCTAACCTGCAGATGTCAGGCAATTCTGGTCAAAAGAGTGGATCTCAAACAGCTCTGGCTGCATTTCTCCTTTGTGATATATAACATCAAAGGGAAATCTGCAACTGGTGCTGTGACAAGTCGTCTTTATTGTTTACTAGGAACTGCCAGGGAATAATCACTGCAACAAAAACTGACCCAGACTGTCACCTGAAGGAAACTACAAACCTTGAGCTGTGTGGAGAAATAACATCCTGACTCTTGAAGCAGCTCTGAATTCTTGGGATCCATAAATAGCTTTTCTTTTTCTTGGTGGCACAGACCTTTAACATTTCTTTTGAGGAGGTTAAGAAAAACATCTGCCACTGCCTATGAGAGAGATCCTACAAATTGCAAAGAATTGTCCATGAGACTGTCACCTGTTTCTTGGCAAACTTCAGGTGATGTGAAGGTGTTAAGTGTCAAACTATTTTGCAGTAAATCTAATGCAGAAATACAGAAGCTGGTAGTCTTGAATACAACTGCCTAAGCAGCTGGGGGAGATATGTATAGTGATACTTACAATATTTTTTCTAGCATAGTTTATTCATTTGATCTCTCTCATAACTGTTCTCATGATTGTTTCAGATCCAGAAGCTGCAAGATCAGGCAACTCCAAAATCACCACAACACTGGGACTAGTAGTCCATGCTGCAGGTAAAGTGGGACCTGTTATTAGTCCTTGACAAGTATATGCATTGTTTGTGGGTCATCTTTAGGTGGGATGGAGACATTTGGGTTTTGCTTTTGGAGGCGGCTTTTTATAAAAGAAAGGAAAAAAAAGGCAGGGAGAACTAAGGATCTTTCTCAGAATTAACTGGGAGCTCCGATGGTTCATGGAGTTTTATTTGGGTACAGAATTTTCTCTTTTACTCTTTATTTTACTCTTTTGTTTTTCCTATATGAAAGGTTGTGTGATGCTCACTCTCTGCCTCTTCAATTCCTTTGCTGACTCCTTTAGCTGCTAAATTTCAATACATGCTAACAGATTTGATGAGTTGCATGAAAACACCTTTGGGTTTGCTTGTTGGTTGATGGGTTTTTAAAAAATACTAATTTAAAACAATAGTATCTTGTAGGGAAAAAAAAAGGATGTTATAAGGTGGAGCACAAAGACTTGACTGAAACACATTTGGGCTGACTTGCAAGGACTGACTGTTAGTTGTGTGTTACAGTCAAGCCATGATCACATTGTGATTTTTCACTATATATGTATAGTATAAATGTGGTGCTCTTTCATCTCCTGTTGAAGGATGTTGTCTAGATAAGTCAGAAGATGTTGATCAAAAAGATACTTCACCAAACTGTGTATATATTAACGAGTAGTATAATATGCATTTTTAATTTAATTTAGACAGTGTAATTATTGTAAGTGATAAAAAATATTTACAATAGTATTTATATTTGAAAAATCATTTCAAGGGTAATAATTAAAAGTCTTGCAATGCTTAGTGTCTAAAACAGATTTTTTAATTAGATAAGAAATCTCTTCTAATATAGAAGACTAAAACAACTAAACTTGTTACTTGTTCTAGTTTGAAGGAATGTGTCAATACGGAGTAGGTTCCCGTTGTGGTTTTTATGGTCTTGGGAAATATGAGACAGCTCTTGTTGAGGCTTTTCTGATGTTCTGAAATGTTATGGCTTAACAAACAAAGGCAAGTGAATCCTCTGTTGGGCTGCTATTGTTAATGGCAATTTTCAGTAATAGAGCTTCTTAAATCAACATGTTTTCTACTCTCAGCCTTTGAGGGGGTGGGGAAGCTCATGTAGAAGAATAATCTATGAATCTGCACTCCTTTTTCAGCTGATGGTGTTGCATTGGGTGCAGCAGCTTCTACTTCTCAGACTAGTGTCCAGTTGATAGTGTTTGTTGCGATTATGTTGCACAAGGTGAGTCATCATCAAAAAATCTTACTTTTTCTTCAAAAGTCTGTTAACACTCAAAAGAATTGCTAAAGATCTACAGTTTCATTACTGATGTAATACAGAAATGTTTAATGCCATTGAAATGGAGAGGTTAGCACAGTGTCAAGGACCACAAAGCAAGGGTATGAGCTATGAGAGAAGAGCACATGATTCGTGCTAAGTCTGAGTGGGGTGCAAATGAGAGACAATTCTGACTGCCTACTGCCTGCCTTGATAGCAGAGGTTGGGAAAAGTCTCCCAGAGGTAGAGAGGGAAGAGTAGCTCATGAAAAAATGTGTCAGCTTCACACTGACTTCTTCTGAAGCTGGTGTGGTAGTGTTTATTTAACAAACAAAAAAACCCAGGGTTATTATGGCTCTAAGAGACACATTCCAAGAAATTCTAAAGGGTGAGAGACAGAAGGAGATGCTAGTGCATTAGGAGGAAAAGCAGTTTCAGTCTTGGTTCTGTGATGTTCATCAGGAAATGGGGAGAATATTTGTTCTGAAGGGTTTTAGTGTTTGAAGGATTAGTCTTTTGAAACCACTGAATATCAGAGTGCTAAATTACAGCAATTAACTTCTGCTTACCTCTGTTGTAGTAGCTTTAACATCACTCATATAGCATTTTTATAGGAAAACAAAAAAAATTTTGCTGATGGTAACAAGCAAACAGTGGCTCTTGAAGATGGAGAGATCTTTGCTGAATACTTGTGTGAATGTGAATCTTTTGGATCTGTAGGCTCTAAACATACCTGTGCAGATGAAATTTGCCTTGTGGTAGCACATGTATGGATGACAGTGGTTAGTCAAATTCATATCAGAAATCATACATGATTACATGTTCAAAATGTTAGGAAATGCATATCTATTATGTCTTTTCTTCAATGTTCATACGAGTAATTGTGGTTTGCATAACTTCGAGGATGGCAGTGTCACTGTCTCATCTTGGAGCTTAACTTATGGCTATTGCCAGGTGGAACTTGCTTCTGTTATTCTTAATGTTCTTAAACGACTTGTGGAATGATACTATTTTAGAGGAGGAAAATTTCTCCTGTGAATATTTGGTAATAGAAAAGAAACTTATTTCTTCTCTGGTCTTTTGATCCTGTCTGATTCTTTTGTCTTTCTCATCTTTTTTTCACTCATGATTTCCTTCTATGTTAAAAAAAAAACATTCTCTGTATAAAAATGCTTAAGGTATTTTAGTTTTATGCCTTACCTTGGAGTCTTAGGAATTATAGCAATGACCGTAGTCAGAATGAATATTTTAGTATTTGTGATGACTGCACAAGTACATGTTTTCTGATAGCCAGAACATGAGTTTCCATTAGGTTTGGTTATTAAGGTGGGGCAGTCTGCAGAATGCTCCTAATTTGGGTTAGCTGCAGTATGGAGTGCACGCCCTAAATGTCTTCCAATTCAGTCCATTTCAATGTAGTAAGTTGTATTGCAACCTTTTCTCATTTTTCAGGGGCTTTGGGAGGTATTGTACTAGCAGTGAGTGTTGTGTTTTGCAGGCACCAGCTGCCTTTGGCCTGGTTTCCTTCCTGATGCACGCTGGGCTAGAACGGAATCGGATCAGAAAACACTTGCTGGTCTTTGCCTTAGCAGCACCTGTTATGTCAATGGTGACATACTTAGGACTAAGCAAGGTAGGTCCATGGTTTTGTTCTGCCCAAAATCTACTTTAATGGTGAAGTCTGGGGAAAGGACTGTGATATGAGTTTCATATTACACAATTCCAAACTGCTTGAGATATTCAGCAGAATAAGATTTAAGAAAAGCTGATGAAAAGGTAGCAGTATGAATGCACAAAACAAATAATAATCTATACATTTCACATCAGAATCAATGACATAACTCCTTTATAGAGTTTGGTATAGTTTTTTTTTAAGTCTGATTTCTATTTATCCTTCTTGCTGCTCCCCACTGAGAACAGTTTATTCAAATGGCAGGTTTTAGGTGATGCCTATTTAAATAAGTAATTTTCAGCATTGTTACATGCATTCTTCTTTTAACATGTAGGTAGGAAATAATCTCCTCTAGCGTCCCCCACCATCCCAGAAGTGGTCCTCTATTTTCAAAGTCTGTGTCAGAAGCTGAGTCCTCAGCTAGAACAGTCCTTGTGCCTTACTCCATAAAGCATCGCTGTGTCTTGGCTCTGTACAAGAAATGGTCTGTGAAATGGGACATGAGTTTAACATCTCTGTCCAAATGAACTGTTTCTGCTTCTCATAGCATGTCCTGGGATGCTCCTGTATTTCTCAGCTGTGGTGTGTCCTGCTGGTGACATGCTGTGGTGGCATGTTGTAAAGGATATAGTGTGGTCTCATGAAACTCAGGGCACGAGAGGAAAGATTAAATAAATCATCTGGGCTAATCTTTTACTTGCTGGATAGGATTTATATTTGACATTATAGTACTAAAGACAGCAGAAAAAAAGGTTGGGTCTGTAAATAGAAAAGAGAATTCTCTTTGAGCACTGTTTTGAAGTGTCCTCATCAAGGGTGGGGTTTACATTTTGCCCTTCAGAAAGAACAGAGAATTGATAAGGCATCAGGGCTGTCACAATGGTTTTGTAGTTCCAGGTGATGTATCTTTCTCTTTGGAAAAATGACCTGAGAGTAAACACAAGAACTAAGATTATACCTGAGTTGGAAAGCATTGAAGAAGCATTTGAATCTGATATGCATGGGTTTGCATTTCATTGCATTTACTGATGTGTAGCATATCTTAATCTATTATGAAGGTGAAGAGGTGCTCAGTTTTGATGCAAAAGATGCATTTCTTCATGAAGTTTGTATGGAAATGCTGGAAATGTTTTGGGTATCTACATACAAATGAAATATTTCATGAGTGATGTTCTGGGACTTCATTCTGAAGAGCAGTGGAGAAGATATTTAAAGGTTGATGTCTTATTTGAACCCCTTCTGTTTGGTACATTGGCTGTGAGCCGATCAACAAGATGCTTCAGTAGACTCTGACTTCTTTCCTTTTCTGAGGGTACTTTTGTAAGGGTTTTTTCTTTCATAAGTCCAAAGAGAAGTAACTAGCAGGAGGGGTGTCTTTCTGCTCCCTCACAACTTCAGGGTGCCAGTCACTACATGTAAGGTGCAAGACACAAAAAAATCACACTAAACCATTGTCATTGTGAGAAGAGACTTGATAGAAATCCTACTGTTCCTGGATACTGGGAGTTTTTTTTAAATTTTTATTACTGATTGAAGAACTTCTGCTTATTCTCACTTTTTTTGCTCTTTGTGTTTCAGAGCAGCAAAGAAGCCCTTTCAGAAGTCAATGCCACTGGAGTTGCTATGCTGTTTTCTGCTGGGACTTTCCTTTATGTTGCCACAGTTCATGTTCTCCCAGAAGTAGGAGGAATTGCTCATAGCCACAAACCTGAATCAACTGGAGGAAAAGGACTCAGTCGTCTGGAGGTGGCAGCCCTAGTATTAGGATGCCTTATTCCTCTAGTTTTGTCCATTGGACACCATCACTAAACGCTCAAATTTCAATGTTCTCAATAAGACATGAGCAGTAAATGTCTGCTGCTCCCTTTATCATTATTTTACCCATCATTCATCCCATCCACTTTATGGAGTTCAGAGGGAATCTTGATTGCAAAATGAGGAATACTGGGAAAGTTTTTAGTGTAGCAAAATGTACTTTGGCAGCCGGACACAATTTCTCTGTAACTTTCTTTTCTGAAGACATTTGCTATTTTAATTGTTACTTCTGGCCCTATTCTCAGGGAAGATGGAACTCGAAGTTTAAGAAAGGTGAGCAGGGAAGAATATAGCAACTCCTCACAAAATTGCAATCACCAAAGTATCCTGCAGTTCAGCTTTCACAGCTGAGAGCAAAACCCAAGGATGGCTGCGTTGTGGGAGGTTGAAGTCTCGCTAATGAAGAAGGGGGCTCTCCCCCATCGGTTCTACATTGTCCTGGCAATGCTACTGGCCCTTGTGATGCTTGTCACTAATTGTACTGCAGAAATGGGCTGCACAGGGAACTCTGTATAACACTGCTGCTGTCACAGAGGTGTCATTTGATAGGAAAGAAATTATGTGGACAATGTGTAGGATTAGAGGAAGAAATCAGCTGGTTAAGAAAGTGCAAATGAGTTTTGTAGTGTATTCCATTGTTTAAGACAAAGGATAGAAGCAAGGAGAATAGTGTTTTGATTGTTATTCAATTGTTAATAAATTCTAAAAAGGACTGTTTCTTGGCAGATAGCCTTCTGCCAAGTCAGTCAAGTCAGCAGGAATTATGTTTTGGCTACTGGGATACACTAATGCTTCTGTTGAGAGAGATACCCATAGTGCCCTTTGAGATAGAGCTGTTCTGAGCTCTATCTCTAAATCTGATGGAGACAGCTGTTGAGGGACCAGAGAAATTTACTAGCTCATTTTCAAAAACCTGAACTGCTGAAATCTGTGGGGGGGCTGTGTGGGTTTTTCACTAAATAAAGGTATTACGGCTAACAGAACAAGATGTTTAGTTAAGTGTTTATGCTGCAGATAGAGTACAAAGTGTTTCTAAAGGAGTTCTGGACAACAAAAACTCAAACCCACCAAAAACCAGTCTGGGGGTTCCCAATGGACCTGTTAGACATTTTGCTTTTCCTTTGGGAATTGTTCATTTGCCTCTTACTGATAAGCATTAGTTTTGGTGAACCTACTGGAGGACTTTCTGCCAATTGCTGATGTCTCTCACTAGAGAGGAGTGGGAAAAGACCCCTCTGTTTTCAAGGCACAGATTTGTCTTACAAGACACTATTTCCCTTATGTAAAACATGTTATACTGTAATGTGCATTGGAAAGTCAGGAATGTTTGACATGCACAGAATCAGCATAAAATTTTCTTTAGGGGAAAAGTTTTTAATGCTGGCCCCCTTATAAGCTATACTTTGTCTGCACTTTTTGAAGATAACATTGCCAAATCTATTTTTCTTTTTTCTTTTTGTTGTTTTTTTTAAAGAGAATCTTGAAGAAATATCTTCTTAACTGAAGTGCTTCTTGTTTCCATATGAATGACTGTGACTGTTTGTCATGCCATTTATTATTTAAACTGCAGAGCCCATTGTGCCTCATAATTCCTTTACCTTTTTGTTATTGTCCTGTTTGTCTGTTAGTTCAGGGAGTAATGGGTATGGCCTGTCTCTTGGACTAGTGATGGCTTTGTCTGTTGGTTTGTAACAATACTGATGAATCCCAGGATTGAACCTAGTATTGATTCCCAGGAGTGCTTGTTCATTTGTGTGTTCTACTATGTAAGATCAGTGCAAAATTATTAGAAGTCATATTTTCCCATAAGACAGTATTTTCAGATAGAATTAGTGCTTCAGACCTAAACAAACATTTTTTTTTTAATATTAGACCTTCAATATTGTGTTCTGAAAAGCCACTGCAAAATTAGTTATGTGGATGGGATCCTCTTCTGTGTGTTTTTCGATTTTTTTGGTCTGTTTTGGTTTTGGGATTTTTACAACATATGTAATGCAACTGGTAAGTTACTGGTTTAAAGAGTTCAGCAGGACGGGTTCCTAACACATGTAAATGATACACAGGGATGTTTACTCCGGAGTTCTGTTCTTCCTGATTCCCCCCTAATTACCTTCTTCTTTGATATCTCACTATTTTTATTTGTGTTTAAGCTTTCCACATAACCATTTCCAAAAGCTGGAGGGTTTGCAAGAGCAGGAGATAGCTTAGTGCAACATTAGGTGCTTGCATTTCATGAAGCAGTAAGTTTTTATTCTTTGACCTCTGTCCTGACACTTGCATCCCCACCCTGGGAGATGACACCCTGCCCAAATTCCCCTTTAGCCTCACTTTGTGTACAACAACAGCAGTGGTTGACAGAGGCTTCCTGTTCCATGCCATTTGTTCCCAGCTGCAGCATGTGGATAGGACCTTTTCACATGGATCAGTGTGTATTGGAGAGGGTGTGGCCGCCAGATTTTCACTGCTGACACAACCTCTGGCATATTAATCACAGGTGTCACTGCTGAGAGGTCTTGTTATCTTTCCATTTTCCTGTCCTCACATCATGTTTCCAGTTTCTGGGGCAGCCATCAGAAATAGTAGTACTCAGTTTAATGATTCATGAAGTAAAGGGGCCAAGTTACAGCAGCAGGTGAAGGAACTTGAATGGAAACATTGGCAACTCAAATTTGGCACAAAAATTCTAAAAACGTACATTTTGGCATTTGGTTAAGTGGCAGAAGACTTCAGTGACTTATTTTTTCTCTACCCATTTAGAATTAGCAACAGCATGTTGTTTTGGCTGCCTGCTATCACTGAATTATTATTTTCAATTTGTATTTGAAACTGCAGTGACTAAAGAAGCTTTTGATTATGTTGATAGGGAAAATTTAAATTTTATATTATCAGACCTTTCCAAATTTTTAGTACCAAATGGAGGATTATTTTCTTGACGCAGAGTATTTTAATGAGTTAAATTAAATGGTCCATTTTATTATAGCCCTTTCTTTCTACCTATCTCCCCATCTGTCGCAGTAAATACAAGCATTGCATGTAGTCAGGGCCATCTGGTATCATTTTCTACTCCTCTGGAGACCTTGGTGCAAGCAAATTCCTCTTACTCTCTTTGTAATAGCCTCTCTGCCTGTTTTTTCTTCTGTGAGGTAGGTGGCAGTAGGTTTAGCAGGTAAATGCTTAAACCAAGTGCCAGCCATGTCCCACTTTCCTTCTGTAAGTCCCTCTAGGAAATCCATAATCTTCTCATCACCTGTTTCTTTTCAGTTAATGATTTCCTAATTGATAATAGGAATTGGACTAAAGCTGTTACTGCTGATCCTCATGTCTTCAGGTACTTCCCCTACTGTTCTTTTATTGTTCCTCTTATAAAGAAGGGAAATATTTCTTTTTCAGCACTCAATGACAGAGGCAGAAGCTGCACTGACATTTAATTAAGTAAGGATGACAGAGCTGTCACACCAAGACAGGATTTTTTGATTGTTTTGGCTTGTCAGGTGGCTGGGTGTTAAATACAGAAACCCACTGCTGACTCCAAAGAACTATTTCCAGGTGGATTATATAAAAGCTAATCTTACCCAAGAGGCCCAGGAAAACCACTGTGTTTATTCAGGAACTAGTTCAGAGCCTTCAAGGAGCTTTTGACAGTAGCAGGTGTGTCCATGTGGTATCAGCTGATTGCAGAAAAGAGAGCGATGTTGTGGAATAAATGCTCCTGCTGCTCCCTTCCTGTTCTGTGCTGGCCCTTGGGAAAAGAGAAGGAAATTGTACTTCTATTGAGGGTGGAAGGAGAAGGAGTGATTGCAGTTTGGTGGGAAAGATTATGATGAATATCGGATTCTTTACCACAAATTTCAGATTCCTGTTCACATCAAACTTCTTTTAATTTTTTTTTTTCTATACTGTTCTATCTCTTAGCAGCCTTGGCTTTCCAGGGAAAAACATTGTGTGGTCATTGCTGTTTACCTTACATGTTTCTCCATGTATGGAACTGTAATTTTAATGTCTTTTTTCCAAACCATTTGTACACAAAATCATTCCATGAATGGCTGCCTTATAATTTTTCCACTTTAATTGTGAATGGTTAAAATAATATTGCCGTTTTCAATTTGTTTTATTATATTAAATTTTTACTAGGTGCAGTGCTTCGGAGTTGGCTTGTCATTTACTGCATGGGGTTTTCTGACAGCTCTAATAGAAAGAAATTACAGTCTTAAATGGATGCAAGCGTTGCAGACAGTGTTTTATTTTTGTGGGAGTGTGTTTACTGCTTTTCTTCATGATGTCTGAGCACCTCTTGCAAACCTGGAATGTGAAACTGCACGCTGGGAGGCAGTGTAGCAGGTGGATTTTATATGGCTCTGAATGTGTTCAGAGGTATTAATGCAGAGATGAATTGACAGCTCTGCTTGAGCAGGGCATTTGGCAACTCGTGTCTCTCACAGTGTGTTTAGGAGCTGGCATTGCCCTGATGCTATCTCCTGCACCCCCAGGAAAATCTGTGGAGCTTACAAGGCTGAGACCTCTTTGGAGGGTAACAAGGAGATGATGGGCTTAAGGTTGCTCTAGACCACTGTAAAAAGGCTTGAGGACCCTTTGGAACTAAAGGAAATCCTCTTTTTTCCATCCTGTGCTCTCAGTCTCTTGTCAGTCCCAAACAAAAAATCTGACACTGTCTGGCTCCATCCCCTTTGCACCCTTCTCTCAAGTATTTGTATACATTGATGAGATTTCTCTTAAAGCTGCTGAGTTGACATGGTGTATAGGTGTTCTCCATACTTTCCAGCTGTCCTCTGGGCAGGACTGGGGTTTAGACCTGCATTCTCAGAAAAGAGAAAGGGGAATGGTGCTGTTACAGGATGAGTGATGTATGCATTTACAAACTGCATGCATCTATTTAAGAGACAGCACTTGATGGAGATGATTCATAAGCAATTCATTTAAAAAATGGATTTATGTTTTTTTGCTGTGCTTGCTGTCTACAGACTTATCTAAGATCCTGTCACACAGTGTTTTAGCTCTTTCACTCCAGCAATAAGCAATCCTCTCAGCTTGTTGCTTGTATTTGATTTTTCTAGTAGTTCATAGGACTTGTGTCTTTAAGAAAGTGTAATCTCTTTATACTGGCTTAAGCACAAGAGAGTATGATTAATGTACAGTCAGGAACACTGAAGCAAATGACAGAGGTGCTGTTAAAGCTGGTACAAGCAAATGTAAAGCAGTAAGAAGGGAAAGCCAGTATTTTTTCCAGGCAGACTCTTGTTTTTTGGCAAGTAAAATTCAGTTTTAATGGTAAAGCATTATGCAGTATATTAGCATTCTTTTAGTGTATTTAGTAAACATGTCACTTCTGTAACTGGAGATTTAATCACTGTAGCCTGTGGTAAAGCCTTTTGGAGATGTGAGGAAGTGGTTTGGGTGAATTTGTTACAAACTTAAATTTAGGAGCTGTGGTGTTGCAGGCTTCCTATTAATTGCTGTAGAGTGTTCCTTCATTTGTTAAGGAAATAAAAATGTACATCAGCATTTTTATGAGCAACTCATTAGGGATGAGCACAGCACTAAGATGATGAGCTGTCATCTATTGTTCCAGCTGACAAATTAAGCCATTCTTCTACTGATATGTGCAAGCCTTATCCAAGTATCCCTGCAGGCAGAATTGCACAACATTCCACTCTCCTTATCACAGCACTTGTCCCCCTTGTCTGTGATGTTGAGAGATTAACAAACTGTTATTGTGGATGGGGGTTAAAGAAAAATGCCTCGTTCAGAAAAACTTGTAGACCTAATAAAAATTAAGCTGTATCATGCTGACTGACACCAAAGCTACGTAGTATTTGGAAACTCTAAAAGCTGAATGACATTATTAGGGGAAAAATGCTTATTGTGCATCGGTGTGCTCAGCCAGTATCTGAAGTGGTGGTAGTTAACTTATGATCTATGATTATAGTTATGTTGGAGTCTGTGGAGGGTAATGGGCTTCTGCTGTCTGAAGGAACACTTTTATTGAGATACTCCTGGTTACACAGGGTTGAAGAGGCCTGCTGAAAGCCCTGCTTACAAGCCTTACTACTGCTTCAGGTGAGTCTTACTGTTGCACCTCGTACTCAAGTGCCCTCAGAGGGCGATGCTATCAGTAGGATGAGTCGAGTTTTAAGACTGCAATGGATTTCCCATGTTCTGTTGTCTCTTTTTGAGGGAGAAACTGAGAGGTGACTGATCTTGAGCAAAACTTTGTACTCCTGGTATCTCCTCTCTGCAGACACTTCACGTGAAAGTGACTGAGTACAAGTGGATGACTAGGCAGTGGATCTGGGAGCTTTTCCATGTTTATCCCTACAATCTAAACTTCAGCATTATGAAAAAAGCCTCCTCTACGAAAGCTGTGTGGCAGCATGGCTCACAGGAGAATAAAAGGAGATGGCCCTCTTAGCCTCCTGTATGTTGTAGAGACCAAAGTCTTCAATGCCCTTCCTTATCTTTCATTTGGCTGGCTGCTCTCCTCATCATTGCACGGTTTGTAATACGGCTGTCATGGTCTGCTGCTATGATAGATGGCAGCAGTAGATCTTTGTGCCTCTGTACTTAGATAACCACTCGAGAATGTGGATAGGAAGGAGGCAAGAGGTGTCTTGTGCCTGCCCTGTGTATGTTTGCAGCACGGTCCTGACTTTGCTGGGACTGGCTGGATGAGCAGGACCAGGAAGGAGGAACTTGCGGTGCTGGCTGCTGGAACTAGAGCTGAGGGGTATTGAACAGTGTATAGGGGAAGGGTGGGAAGAGCACTGGTGGTGTGGGCCCTGCAGTCTCCACTCCTGAATGAAGTCCTGGTTGTAGTGTCTGTACTTTTTAAGGCCTTGCCTTCGGTGATCACAGCAATGGTAGTTGTAAAGGAAGCCCAGAATGAGTATGCAAGAGCAATTGTGGTCTCTGTGCATGTGTGAGGCATTTTACAAACTAAAGATCAACTGGGGTTGGCCAGTTTTGTTTTCGTGGATGTGTATTTATTGTTTATAAGTTAAGCCTAAGAATTTCATTGTTTTGATCAAAGGGAAGAAACGGTAGAAATTGGTGGATTGCAATCAATATTGATACCTTTGCAGTTGAAAAGCACCTTTTGGATAGAAATCCAGCAGCTAACCTGTTTTTAGAAACTTGGAGAATTCAGATATACTAACTGGTGTTGAAACAGCTAGAGAGTGTGTTTCTCCAGAATGGGCAGCCCTGGATCTCATTTGCTCCTTGCTGGATTGTTTTGTCAGATCTGAAGTGTGCTGGTGGTTCTCTGGTTGTTTGCATGCCTTAATATGCAGAGGTATTACATTTCCCCTCCTTCATTATTCTGCCAAGGAAATGCTAACAAATCCTTCTCTTTTGCAGGACTTTTTTGGCTGTCCATGGTACCCAAACTACTGCCCTGGTATATGTATTCTTGTGATACTCTGGATTTACTACCAGTGTCACACAGGAGGAACAGTGGCTGAGGGAAATCAAGTTACATGCTTAGATTCAGAGAATATTCCGAGTTGGAAGATACCCACAATGGTCATCAAAGTCCAACTCCTGACCCTGCACAGGACAACCTCAGTCAGATAAGCAGCCTATTTAACTACTGAAGCTCCAAGCAATTTCTGTTTGTCAGCCATGTGATCATTTTGTAGTATTTAGGCTTGATGGGGGAAAAACTGGTGCCTTGCAGGAAGCCTGTGGTCTGTCTTCTGGAGGAAGCCTTCAAAGATAGCTGACCACTGTGATGTATTCTGAAAAATAGCAGAAATCTTTGCTTATGAGAGTAAATGAGTTTTCTTCCAGAAGAGATATCTTAGGATTTTAAAAAATTAAATTTATATTCTCTTCATGCTGAGAGAAATAATCATTGATTGGTGAAATAGTCATTGGTGTCAGTTCCTGAGAAAGCTGCCTCCCAAAAGCCAAGCTATGGGGCTGGCTGCTTGCTATCAAATCCCTTTGGTTCGGTAAACTGGTATCTTATTTTCTGTCTTCCTCTGAGTCTCTGGAAGTGTCTCTATATCCACAGCAAATAGCTGGATTTATTATGATTATTATTTATCCTGGGCCAGATCCAGATCCAGCATGGATCTGAATGTGTTTGAAGGGCTGGGACTAGTGAAGGGCTTTGGCTGGAACAGGTCACTGAGACCATGTAGTTCTTACCAAGGGATGATAAATGGGGTTATACATCTCTAAGGGTGATGTCTGATGGGGTTGCAAATCTACAGAGGCACTTGACTTTAATGCCACTTGCTGAGTAACTTTTCTTTGAGTTCTGCAGAACAGCTCCAACTTTCCATCTAACACTGAAAATTTAATCATTGTGCTAAAGAAACATGCTGTGTTAGTGTATCTCACTAGGGGTGAATTGATGGTAGTTGCTTTTCTACTTAAAATAGCGTCTGCACACAGCTGTGCACCTAGGAAGCTGTAGCATCACTTTGGGGAGTACATGTGACATTTTGTCTTTGCAAGAATGATGTATCATAAATGAAACTGGAGCTGCCCTTTACTTCTCCACATTGGTTGGATACCTGCTAATAGCTCCCATGATTGCTAATGTTTCTCAGGGTTAAAAATGGCTATGGAGCCTATCAGAAGCTGTAAAAGCAAAGGGAGTCTGCCTTACTGGAAGGTAAGATCTGAATCTCTCCAACTCCGCAGTGGCTCTCATTCATCTAAACTTACTGGCCCCAGCCCAAGAAGCAGTTTGTTCTTTCTGCATAACACAGTATTGTCAGGTTGCCCAGACCATGAAAATGTAACTTTTCACTTAAAAAAAAAATACAAGCCTCCTCAGCAGGCGAAGGTAGTATGTGTCTCCTTAAACTGAAAGGGACCATCTTTGAGCTGGAGAGTGGCCTGTGAAGAAGGCACATGGGGTAATTCTTGGGCAGTTCCTGTGCAGGGCTGAGTTGGACTTGATGCTGCTTGTAGGTCCCTTCCAACTCAGAATATTCTGTTAGGAAATGTTACTTCTGTATAGCTTGCACTGCTGTCTGCTTCAAACGTTTATTTTTAGCAAAATTTTATTGGCTTGATGTGTAGGAAGAATAAAGACAACATATTAGTAAAATAATTGCCATACCAGTGCAGCCTGTTGCTCCAAAGAAAGGTTTTCTGATTGCTGTCTCTCAAGGATGTACAGATGTGTTTCCCCTTCATTAGATTCGTACACACATAAGTGAAATGTTAAAAGAGCCACTATTACTATAAATTACTGTGTCCAGACACCAGCAGTTGCAAAATTCACCTTGCTGCTATCTATTGCCCTAGCATTGCTGGCCTGTCACTTGACAAAAGTTGCTCTTTCCCTCCCCTGGCCTGTTGATTTAAAGAACTTGCTTTAACTACTCAGTGCCTTGCTTGTCTTAGAGGCCTCCAGAGGAAAAAAAAAATCACTTTTTGATGTTCAGAGCTAGAAACCTCTTTACTCTATTAGTCTGTGTGAGGTAAAAATAAGAAAGAATGAAAAATAAGTAAAGGCTGAAAATCTGTCTCATGGCAGGTCACTGCTGTCAGATCTTTGCATTGTTGGTGCAGTACAATGGCAGGAGCACTGGATCATTACATGGGAGCTCTGTGGCTTTTCCCTAGACATTTATACAGTTAAGTGAGGCTGTAGGGCCCAGAATAATTTTTACCCTCTGTGCAACATAATTTGAGGGAAAATTTTTCTTCTCCTGGTTATGAGTAGTATTTCCTTCTTGGTGCTGGGTACAGAAGGGCATCTATGGCATTAATGCTTCTGTTCTGCAATGCAGTATTGTATTCAAGAGTTAGAGCTTAGGTAAGATGGAGGCAGTATCTGCTGCTCTCTCTTCTCCACTCTCTGCCTTAATGTCACTCTGAAATGGGACATGTCCTGCTGCTCTGTGCATGTCCTGTCTGGGACCAAAAGGTTGGTCAAAGCCAGGGTGAGAGGAAGTAACAAATCATGGTGTTTGCTGGCTCTCCCATCTATTGATCAACTGTGACTTTTATCAGGGACCTGCATCTCTAATTTCTCTGATACTGAATGCAGCCTGTGAGCCTGAGGCAGGCTGTGTGCATCTCCTGTCTTTAAGATGCTCTGCAAGTGTCTCTGACTGTACAGAGCTAAGTGAGCCCATGTCCTGTGGTGTGCCCTGGCCTACAGCACATCCCAGGTTTCTGTTTGGGGGTGGGGAAGGACCATATGTCTGCACTGTGTTTCTTCTGAACAACTGCATTGGGAAGGGCTGGCATCCAACAATTACAGCATCAGAATCTATTCACATGGGATGGCACAGGTTAAATCAGGAGCTGATACCTCAGCATATATGGCATACATGCCATACAGCATGTACATGTCTGTATTGGTTATGGGATATCCCAAAACCACAGATGGTTTAGCAGCTGGGATTGTTCCCTGAATTCTAATCCTGGAGGGGAGGCAGGATGCAGTAAAGAACAATATGAGGATAAACTAATTTCCTGTGGGCATTGAAAAATACAGGTTCTTTTGGAGAACTATGTATCTGTAGAGGGAGAAGGAGTTTCAAGGGAGAAACAAGGACATAGTACTCCCACAGCAACCTTTTTAATCAGGTTCCCTAAGCAGGAGATGAACATGGACCTGAGCTGTGTGACGTATTCCTATGTGTCTGTGTTGGGGCCAAAAAGGAGCTGGTACCTAAGAGGCAGGGCTGAGGCTGTTCTTGCCACCTCTCCAAGATGCAGCAAAGCATGAAGGCAGGCAGAATTGTATGCTCTAACTTTGATCAGCAGTGGCCCTTTAAGGCAGAGCAAGGCGTGCAGTGTGGACACTGCCCAGTCCAAACCCAGCAGCCACGTGAACTCTCCCCAGGTGGGCAGTGCCAGGCTGGCACAGCAAGGCCCCCTCACCCTCCCCAATGACAGAGGGAGTCTGATTGAACTTGCTGGCTCCCACTCACTCTGCCCCAATTTTCCTCAGGACAAATGAGAAGAACCTGTCTCCAAGTGCAAGATTTTGGGAATATATGTCAGAGATGCCTGTCAGTAAAACATCCGTCTTGCCCTAATTTCTGCATGGAGTGCTGCAATGTCGAGTGAAATAACCTTCCAAGCTGGCTCTGGTGCAGAGGTATTTTGGCTTATGTTATTGCTGAGAGCTTTCTTTCTGATGAGCTCTTTCTGCCTCTCTGTGTTTCTGATGTCTGACTCTCTTCACTATTCTTTTTCCCTTGGGCTGGGATGTGTGCTGTTTGCAATGCATCAGGAAGTAATACGCAATGAGAAAACTCTCATCATCTGTGCATCAGGGAGAGAATTACTGACTGAGTGCTGAGCAGTCAAGTTATTGATTCAAACCAAAGCCCAGTCTCTCTGTCTGCTGGGCTGGTTACATCCTGCTGGTTCATTGCATTTAATCGGATTCCCTGAGCTGCCACGCAGAGGGGGTGAGTTAGAACCAGATCCATCTATAATGTTTGCTTCAAAATCCAGTTCTGTCTCCCCTTCTCCGTCCATGGAACAGGCAGACTCGGATGCTCTGGACATCAGCACCAAAGTGCAGCTGTACGGTGTGCTCTGGAAGAGACCCTTTGGGAGGCAGTCAGCCAAATGGTCCAGGAGGTAAGCCACAGTTGCTGAGGGATGCTCGGGTAAAATACAAAGCCTAAGGATCTGGGATAAGTTTAGAGACTGAGTGCTTGACTCTTCAAGTGCAGCCAGCCAGGGAGAGGCTCAGGGTAAAACTTGGGGCATAGCTTCCCTGCTGCTCTGAGTCTGCTTCACACACGTGCCATCCCATTGTGCTCTCTTCTTTATCTGTCCAGACCCTGTGCTATGTGCACTTCAGGGTGGTAATAGAGACTAGCTGCCTCCTCTGAATAATTGTGATAGTTTCATGAAAGGGGAAGAGTCTGTTCATGTATTTTGCCCCTAAACTGCTTGACTTTTTTGTTTTGGCACTCAAAGCTCTTTGAGTCCTGCGGGTGTGAGATGGCAGGGCTGAGCTGACTGCGTGGGGGTCTGTAGTGTGTGTGTGTGGTCTGCAGGGGTCTGTGCACAGCTCCAGTACTGCTGTGCTGCCTGACAGCGACTGCATGCTGGGAACAGCACATGCAGACTCTTCCCCGGGGAGAAGGTGGCTCTGAGTTCTCTCCCATCTGGTGTTAGGGGGTTGCAAGCTGCTTTATGTTGTCTGTCAGCAGCCAGGAAGTTTGGAGCTGGAAAGCATTTGCTATAACCTTTAACCAAGGACAGAAGTATGTTCTAGAATACTGAAGTGGTGGGTTGGTTTAAAGTTGAGAGTTGCTGTAGTTTCTTTATGCAAATCACTGAATCTCTGGCACTTACCTTTCGTAAGTGCCTTTGCTGCAGTCTGCAGTGTAGATACAAACAATCCGTTTCTAAAGCCAGCTTTCCCAGCTTTGCTTTCTGTAGTAACCATAGTGCTGCCCAGTCTGCGAAGATGGCATAGCCTGAAAAAAAACATTACTTGGGAAGCATTTTGTGTTTGTAGCAGTTTTTGACCCGTGTGTGTGTTTTATTCCCTCCCATACCAAGAACAGCCTATTTTCACCCAGAAAAGAATTTGTGCTGATGCTCCCTACTCAGCTCCCAAATATCGATAAACAAATGAATTATGCCTGGAAACTACTGTGATTGTGTTACAGAAAATAAATGGACAGAATAACAGAGGGGAAGGTAATTTGCCATGGATGAGGCATTCTTAAAAGGCTCTCCCTAATAAAAATATCTTGCAGGCAAATGGCCCATCTCTGTTCCCTCTGTCATTATTTATTTAGTGCTGTTCTATTCCTAGAAATCACCCCATCTTCAGCAAGTGGTGAATGTTTTAGTGATAGCAGCTGGGAGCAGAAGGGTGGTGATGTGGGGCAGGGGTGATGTGGAAGGTTAGTTGCAAGCACAGAAGCTGAGGGTCCTGGGGGACGAGACACAGGTCAGTTAGAGTTGAACATGGAATCTGTAGGGTTTGGAAGAAGTGAGTTCTGGGGTAAAAAGATTTGAACAGGAGGAGCAATGTGTTGTTGGTTTGTTTGTTTTATTGTGGGAGAGACTTGCCTTAAAGTAAAACAAACTTGCATGGTATTATAACCAATCATTAGGGGGAGATAAGGAGCAATTCATTAATTTCCTCCTCTTTTTCCCCATGCCCACCAGCACATAGCTGGTCAAGTACATTTTTTTTATGAAAAGGAGAAGAGATGTTTCCCAGTCCAGTTAAGTAAAGAAAAAAGATTGGCTATATTTTGATGTCATTGAGGACCTGGTCTCTGATAAATGTATGTTTTGTCCTGAAATCTGGGATAACTGTACTACTCTCACTCCCAAGGAAAGTCTTTCCAAGATATGGGAGATAGATAGCCTGTCTTTAAGGGGAGGATTGATCTCATCAGGCCATCAGCCATGAAGATGGGTGGGAGGTACATGATATTTACTGGCCTGATCCCATTCATTTGGCTGTAGCAGCAATACTTCTGGAGCAACTGAGAAGAAAAGCAACTGTTTCAGGGAAGGATGGAATCTGACTAAACAGCAGATGAAGGAAAAAGTGTCCAGGCATGGCGTCCAGTACTTTGGTGATGGAAATCCCAGGTTTTGGAATTTCACAGCAGTACAGGCTATGCAGGGAGGAGGAAGGGATAACAGATCCTTGTTTTAGTCAGGGCCAAATCTGATGGCACCTGTGGAGACAGCTGAACTTGACCTGGGGCAGCTGTGTGGAGCATTTTCAGTCCTTTCTTTTGCCCATGCAATGGTCTGCTCTGAAGCCCAAATATAATATTTGTGTGCTGCCTCAGGTACTGTCCAAGAGTGGGCTGGATGCTTCTGGACCAGTGTAGCTGTGTTTATCTGCCAGGGCTGACATCTGAGCATGCTGCCTTTCAGAGCTTGATTTTTGAAATGCCATTAGCAGCATCCTAATGCCTGTCTCTTAAAGAAAGGGAGGTCTATTCCTAATGTGGATTTTCTTTTCTTGTAAAGTAATATCTATCCAACAGAGAAGCACCTGTCTTCTGAGTTTAGTGCTGCTTTTGAGCAGTCTAAGCTTGGGTCACTGCTGGAGTGGCTTTGGAAAATCCTATTCTCAGTCACTGACTAACAGTCCTCCTCTTCTGAACAACTTCTTCCTCCCAATGCCTAACAAGCAATTTAGCCTCTCCTGCTACAAAAGTTTTACTGGTAATGGCACGAGCCTGGCGCAGAGGCTGGGGTGAAATGCATCATGTGTAGACCCACCCTGGATATGGCATCAATTGGGTGCTGTAGCTTTCCAGGATGGAAGTGGCATACCCTTCTTTACCATGAATAATCCCAGTCCCATATAGAAATGTCAGACTCTAAACTGTCACCATCCATGTCTGAGACTTTGGGGTTCAATGGGACAGTGCCAGGAAGGGCCATCTCTTTGGTGGACAACTGAACATCAGAAAAGCAAGGTGAAGCACAAGAAGAGAGAGAACAAAACACAAAATATGCCTGTATGTCTCCATAAATCTGTCAGAGATGACAGATTGGAAGGAGGGAAACACAGCGCAGTTAAGAGAGAATTTTTTGTCTTTTGCACCAGTCCTGTCTGTGGCATTGCAAAGCAGGCACATAACCTTGTTTTCCACAGTGGCTACTTACAGTCACTGTGTGTGGTCACAGGACAGATGGAAAAGATAACTGTTTATGGCTGCTTTCTGCTCAGGACCCCCGGGAATCACACAGCTGCAGAGCAGCGAGCGTGTGCGGCACAGGGCAGCAGGGGCTGCGAGAGCCTGGGCTTCCCTCCGCTCCTTGTGATCCCCGCCTTGCTGCTTGCGGTCCGGGAGCCTCCTGAGCCGCTCCTGCAGGCTGGGCGTGCTCCGGCTGCCGGGGCAGGGGAGCCTGGAGCTGACAGCGGAGCAAGGGCGAGGGGCAGGTACTGCGAGCTCTGATCTTCATGCTGATCAAGATCATTCGCCCATCAGTTTCCTGAGCTGTCCCTGGGGACGGAGTACTGGGCTCATCTAGTAAATGGGATTTGTCCCCTGTGCTCCTGGGCCAGAGAAACACCATCTGAATAAAGGACCAGGGAGACCGCTGCAGTTTTATAGTGTAACTACTTCATCTGGGCCATTGTCGTGTCAAAAACTTGTACAAAGAGTAGCTAATTAATTTCATTAGCCCTCTGTAATACAAAAAGCACTTATTCCACAGAGACCAGGTGTCTCAATTTGTCCAGTACAGAGCTGTTGTTTCTGCTTTACATCAGAGTCACTCAAATTGTTACCATTCCTCTCCTATTCTGGTTTAATTGTACTGTGGTTTCAGTGGTTCCTCAGAGCAGGATCCTGCAGCAGGGATGGATGACCAGAGCAGCTGACCACATGAATGGCTCTTGCATTACCTGTGCTGCCTGTAGAGTGTGGCTCTGCCAGCCTGCCTTATCTCTCACACCTTTGCTGGTGTTCTCCAAGGTTTTGAGCTCTGCTCTGTTTTTAAATTGCTTCTCTTTTGGGTTCTTGGTTGTATGCAAAATCTTGCCCTGCCTTTACAGCACTCCCTTTTCTCTTGCTGCCACATCTGTGCCTAATTCAGACACATGTTCAGTGTCTCCTGTCCTCCAATCACAGTCCTAACTGGGTGTCTCTCCCCATTCTCCCTTGACCATCTTTTCCCTTTCTGCTCTTACTCACCTGGCTGCTGCTTTAGTCTTCAACCTGCTCTTGAGCCTTGTAACTCTCTCCTCTGTTATTTTACTTCATCCCTCTTTTCACCATGCTGCATCAACTGCCCCTGGACTGTTGCATGGAGACTTTGTCCTGAAGGTCATTTAAAGTAATGGTCTTGGTTGCTCTGGTGTTGCTTTCCAGGTAAAGGTAGATGAGGGAATATGATCTGAGCATAAATACATTATGTGCACAAGCTAACCAGATTTTCAATGTTTTTCCTTCATTAATTGTAGTGAGATTTTGTTCTTCTTATTTTCTAAACTCTTATTTTGTATATTTTCATTCCAAATCCCCATATTTTCTCTCCACATCTGTGAAATCAGGGATCTAAAAGTTTATTTATCTGTGAGAGACATATTGTTTTTCAGAGGTTTGTGCTATGTTTTGTTCTTATTTTTGCTTTGATTTTGGTTTCCATAGAAGCATAATCTATAACATGAGGATTATCAGCACTGAGCAATAAAAAGTATGTAACAAACTAAACTCTGGCTTTAACTGGGGGATAACATGTAGATTAAAAAATCACACAGAGTTAAATATCAATATCTTTACCTGTCTGGCAAATGTTTTTTTATATTAGTCAGACTGAAAAGAGTGTTGAAAGTGATGATTTAACTTTCTCTGTTTCCTGTGGTGTGTTGACTTTTGGCATCTCTGGATTCATATTTGTGCCCACAGTATCTGGTTCCCTGTGACTCACTGGACCAAGCACAGGCCATTGGGCAGGCAGGTTTGTTCTTTTAAGAGGTTATTTCTGTATTTATTGTGCAAATAAGGCAACATTTCTCTCTAAAAAATGAAGTCCTCCTTGAACTAAGCATAGAGTTGGAGAAAACAGAAAGATGCAGCTACTCAAAGGAAAACTTTCTTATAGAGTTAAAGGCCAGAGATGTGAGGAAAAATTAATCCAGAAGGCACAAGGCTGCTGTTCACAGAAGTGATGTGGACAGGAGGAACCAGGAACAAGCCTTGTCTGCTCTCTGGAGGTCTCTGATGTCAGCCTTGGCAAAGTCCCTGCTTCTCCCCACCTCTGATGTCAACATGAACAGGTATAGATGAGAAGGAAGGAGAAGAAAAAAACTGGGGAACAATAACTGCTGCTGGTGTTTGTATGTTCTGAAGATTTATGGATGCAAATATGCACCTGCTCAATGACTGTCACTTTCTAACACTTTGGAGAAGGTACAAAGTGATCCAGAGCTTGAGTTTGCTACCGACATTGAAAAGTTTAGCTCTGTTCTTTTATTGCCCCAAGAGCCTGTGGTCTCTGTTCCCATGGCATTTGGCAATTTCATCTGTGTTCCCAGAGCCATAGCAGAAGAGAAAGAGAAAGAAGCTGATGGAAGCAGTAAAGTTTTCACCTGAGTAAAATAATGATATTAATAATAATTAATAATTATTTATATTTTTAATTATGATTATTATAATTCTCTGCCAGCTTCAACGTCTTCCTTTAGCTTTTGGAACTAAACTGGTACCAGATTGCTGTGCTCATCTGTACTGGAGGCAGGACTTGGCTCCACCTGGCAGCCCATCCACTTCAGGAGAGGCCTGGGGGGGATGGGGGCACATGAAGGCATTAGCATTGTCCCCTTGTCCTCTAGCCCATTACTAAATGTGGCTCCAAGGAAAGGTGCAGCAATGCCCAGGCTGCACAAGTGGGCAGTGCTGCCTGTGGAGGTCTTCTCTTATTCCCTCCCAGAAACAGGAGCGTTTCCTGGGAATGTTCTTATTATTCACAGAAATGTCTTATCCTTTCCAGTTTCCTCATGATCTCTTGTCCTCAGCACCATATGAAAGTGATTTACACGGCTGTGCTTTGTGGAGTGTAAAAAGGCATTTTTGAATAATTTTCACCTTCTTGCCTTTCGCTTTCTTTCCAAATCCCTCTTTCTCATGTCAGAAAATATGTACAGAACAGAACAATACATTTTCTTTGTCATTTGCTCTTCTGAAACCTCCCTATTACACTTGTCCCCATTTTTTTTTCAGCTGCTCTTTGTAATTTTTGAGTGCTGCAGAGATTTAGACCAAATTGAAACTAAGTCAGGTATCTCCCCTGTACCCCTGCCTGCAGAACATGTGCAACCTCAATTTTTGAAGAGAGGAGGAACCCTCCCAGGGGCATTTCAAAAATCCAAAAAAGTTAAAGGTGGCACTCCTTTAATCATAATTTTGAGGACACACTCCAGTAAGTTAGAGGCTTGGCTTGCAGAAGCTGTGATATTTTGTGGTTACTACACAATGATCACCAGAGCATACCTAAGGCTAAGTGTGCAGAACAAGACCTATTTTAATGTTACACATATGAGAAAAAAAAATTCAATTTCCTTTGTAGTGGTGAAGGTCAGTGACAGGAGAGTTTGCCAGGTGCTCTGCTTAAAAATATCTCTCAAATTTATTTCTGCTCCTGAGTGCTTTGGTGGCCAATTTTTGCCTCGAGTCACTTGGGGATGCTAGGCTGTGATTCTCTGTTAGACTGGAAACACTTCCCTCTGGCTGTGCTGAGATGGGAGGGAAGAGGGTCACAAGCAGCATGTTGCACAATAAGCATTTAGTTGGGCTTAGCCCATGCAAGAGACCCTTGAATCAAAGAGCAGCTCTCTCCAGTAGGTTGAATTCAACCCCTGAGCGAGAGAGGGCACACACGTAGAGGTGCCAAAAGTCTGTGGTCCTGCCTGGGGCACAGAGTGCTGTCCCAGTGCCCTGAGAGCCTGTGGCTTGCCCTCAGCACTGGTGGTGCCTGTTGGGTGCCTGCAAGCACAAAGTACCCCAGCTTGGCACTTGCTGTTAAGCACCAGCTCCTGGCTGTGAGCAAAGTGAGGCACCTCACCTTAGTCTTAGGTGGGAGTGGTGAACTCTCGTGATCAGAAAGCAGCTTTAGTTAGGTGGGGATTTTCTAGTGCTGTGAACCACAACCTCCATTTCACCAGAAAGTATTTCCCTTCTCTGTCTTAAAGGTTCTTCATCATTAAGGAAAGCTTCCTGCTGTACTATGCTGAGAGTGAGAAGAAGAGTTTTGAAAGCAATAAATATTTCAATATCCATCCAAAGGTGAGCAGTGTTTGCACAAGGAGGGAGTTATTTTCTTTCTAGCATTCCCTCCCCCTTCCTCCATGGGCCCAGCAGATGATGAAGAGGTAAGTTCCAGTTAGCCCAAGACATCTCACAGGTTCAGGAAAGCCTCAAAAGAGAGGCTTTTCAGGATATTTCATGATTCAGCAGGCATATGACTTCTATTTTTTTTTTTACCTGATAGTAGATATATTCCTTTATTTTCATGATCTAATCATCTAATCTTGTGGCTATAAAAATAATGTTGGCAAAGCCAGTGGTGGGGCCAAGAGCTCCATATGGCTCTTGTTTCTAACCTGTACTTGCACTTGGCAACAGCTGAAGGCCCACCTGCCCTCAGCACCTGAGAGCCCTCTGTAGCTCTGCTGCCTGGAGCTCCAGGGAGCTCTGTGCTCTGAACTGCTTTTGTCCTCTGTAGTCACTGCAGGCTGATGTAGCCTGTGAGCTCCTGAAGGTGCTGATTCCACCCATCCTGGTTGTCACAGCCAGCTGCCTGCCTGCCCCACACAGCACTGTGGGGTTTGACTGCTGTCAGTGACTGCAATGGATGCACAGCCTCTCTCATGATACCACACTGAATCTGCAACATTTGCCTCTCTTGGGAGATCGCTTCCTCCTTGATGAAACAGTTTCTGCTTCCATGTTCTAACAGCTTCCCTCCATGCTGAAGGCAGGACTGCCGTCCTTACCCCTTCCAGATACTGGCTGAGGGTTTCCTGGTGGTGATGAGAGTCCCTCTGCTTTGCAGGAATTGTGTGTATTGCCCCTCCCAGGGTAGCTGAGGCAGGGCAGGGGTCAACAAAGTGACTGAAAGTTCAGCTCCTGGTTAGTTGATAGTTATACTTGATTTTTCTGACTGATGAGAGTGCTCTGGTTTATCTCCAGGGTGTCATACCCCTGGGAGGCTGCATTGTGGAGCCCAAAGAAGAGGCCAACATGCCTTATGCCATAAAGATCTCTCATGAAGACTTCCATGTAAGTAGATTCCTTTTCTTCTAAAAAACCTCCAAACACCACAGAACAGGTTAATGCTGATGAGCAGAGCTGGACTGGCAGACTTTTCCCTCCCCATCAAGGTATGCCTACCGTCTCTGGACAGACTATCCTGAGGGTAAAGGTGACTTAGGATCCCAAGTCCCCTCAACACAACCAGTAAGGAACCTGCACTTTCTGACACCAGGTTTTAGGCTACTAGCAGAGCAGTGGACAGATTCTCAGGAGGCCTAGAGCCCATGTTGCCCTGTCAGTGTTATTCCTGCTGTGGCTGTTTGCTGTGTGCACACTTCCCAATGTGTGGTAGGCCTACGTCGTATTTGCTCCCATGTGATGTTTCCTGGGGAGGTGGAGGGCTATGGTGGGCTCTCCTCCCACCACAGCTGTGTCCAGTTCATGCCAGGGATGCACAGAGGTGCATAAGGCACCAGCCTCTCTAATCTGGGTTTTTTTCCCCCCTCCCCTCCCCTCTTCCAGGGTAACATTGTTCTAGCAGCTGAATCAGAGTTTGAGCAGGCTCAGTGGCTGGAGATGCTACAGGAGTCTGGAAAAGTGTAAGCTCCTTTCTATTCCTTATTTGCTTTGATCTGCTCTGTAGATGTATAAAGGATAAAGAGGAAGAAGCCTGACTAGAAGGGCTAGGGGGAGTCAGACAAGCTCCTCAAAACCAGTGATAGCTTTAGTTGCCTCCTGGACCTGTCCTTACTCTAAAGGGGAGTGCTCTAAAGCTGATGCAAAGCTTCCCACCTTGTAGTGCAGTGTGTCTCTCTGCTCACCACCCCAGGCTGTCATCTGCTAAATGCTGATACACTGAGTTTCTTCTGCTACCCCTCTTTCGTGCCTCAGAGATGTGGGAACCCTCTTGGTCCATTTTGTGTGGGAAGCAAGGTTTGCAGGTTTGATGGAAGTGGAAGTCAGACAACCCCTCCATATGAATTTGGGGTAAAGTAAGAGCAGAACAGGCAAGACATGAAGCTAGTGAGCAGCTGCCATGTGCCTCTATGTCCTACCATGAGCAGGGACCTCAGCAGCACAGTTCTGATCAATAACAGTAATTGTGATGCACTTCTGTGTCCGTGGGGTATGATTCCTTCTGCCCAGATCTGCGGGTGCTCAGGCCGTGCAGCAGCAGGATTTGGCCTCTCAAAACAGTTTAATTGTGAAATGTGGAGGCAGCCTAAATCCCAGGAGAGGCAGTGTTAGCAAAGCATTTCCAGCCCACCTGCAGGGGTGAGAGGGTTTGATTGCTGTCTGCATTCAATACTGGTTCACACTCTGCTGAGAATGTGGGACAGAGATTTGCAGTTAGTTGGCCTCCAGCTCTGCAGTCCCCCAGCACCCAGGAGCCTGACAGTGCAATGAGCAGCTGTCCTGCAAAGCCAGAGCAGGCTCCTTCTAAATCTCAGCAAATGCAGGAAGAGATAACACTAAAACAGGGATTTGACTTTCCCAAATGAGATATAGAAGCTTCCTGGATTTTAGGGTGGAGCCTACCATTCAGCTCTGAGGCTTAAAGCAATGAGCATTTTGCTCTGCCCTTCCTGGCTGCATAACATGTGTGGTCTCTTACCACTGCAGGGACAGAAGCTGTTTAACTTGTAGTCCCAGTGTGTGCATGTACATGTACATGCTAAGGCAATATCTCAGTTAATTTCAATGTTGTGAGGCCCAAAATGTAGATTTGTAATTAATGGGAACCTAATGTTACGGTGGATCAGTGCAAGCCAAGCTCTGTGCTTGGCTGTGGTGCTGGGGCGAGCTGTTCCCTCTGTGGCAGTGTATGAACTGCCGCACAAAGCTGGCCATGAAGATCCACGGGAGCAGGAGTCCTGTGGGACACAAGACCCAAGGCAGAGATCTGCCACCCCCTGGGCACGAGCAGCCTTGGCCACTGCAGAGGAGAAGTGACAGACACAGAGCAGTTTGGAGATTTTCATTGACTAGCCCAGGTCCACACTTGCCTTTGCCAATGTTTAAATCAACTATTGCCAAGGGCAATAATTTGGGACCAAGTTCATCTTTCAGGTGTGTATGGGAGGGAAGGAGGAGGGCAGCACAACTCAGGATGGGTGTGCACAAGTAAGCCCTGCACTGCTGCATTTGTCACAGAGCCAGCCTTTTCTCTAGCCCATGCTTTAATATTCCAGCAGTAGCATTTAAAACAGAAGCTGCAAGTGGCTGCTATCATACAGCAGACCACCTGCACCTAGTTGATAATCCACCTGAGACACCTTTCCTCCCCTCTGTGCTTCTGTTCCTGCATCAGAGAGTGGTGCAGCTCCAGTGCCAGTCTCATCAGGGCTGATGGTAACCTACATGCGAGGAAAAGCACGGATTATGTGATTTAACAGGGTCAGGTTGGGAGCTAAACAGCAGTCAGAAAGGCCAGCATGGGCCAATAAATTGATCTGCAGTGAATAGAAAAGCTAAAATAATACAGTTGAATTATTCTAGGCAAATATAATGTTCTTTTGTTTCTAGATGGAGATTGTACTGCCAGTGGCACCTGCTGTTTTCATAATTATTTAAAGTTGGCAAAAAAAACCCCAACAAAAACCCCAAAACTCACAAACAACTTTAAAAGAAAAAAAAAAAAGGCAAAAAAAAAAAAAAGCCCAACCCCAAAACAAACTCCATAGACTGAGATATGGACATAGGCGAAGGAGGAAAAACAAATCCAGGCTGGGAAGTATCATCAGTTCTTTGTTTCAATTTTGTCCTCTGCCTCTTTCCATCTGGGGTGGGTCATGTGTATGTGCCTGCAGAACTGGTTATTGCCTCCACCATCAGAATGCCTGGTGATCCCTTCAGTTCTTCACTCCCTTCCAAGCCTCCTGCCCTGATGGGGAAATGGCTTATTCGACGCAGAGGGGAACTGATGGCATCCCCACACTTCCTAAATGTTGTGGCTTAGACTTACCACACTTGCCAGGTTGTGAAAGTTTTTTGGAAATGCACAAAGGCCTCCCAGACTGCCAGGCTCTCGTCCCACCCAGAGAGGCTTTGCTGCTGAAAGTGGGAGAGAGGGGCACACATAACCTCTCTCTGTTCACAGCAACATTCCCTGAACTGGTAGAAAGTGAACTTGGTGGGCAATGCAGGAGAAAATAAGTAACATAGTACTTTCATGCTGTGGACTATAAAGTGCTGAGTGTCTCCAAAAATTGGCAATGGGTGCTACCCATTTCACTTCATTTTACCTAAAGAGGTATTCCCAGTGCTGCAGAGCTGGAACAGACAGTGATTGAGGTGTATATGTGATGGAGATTCTCTACAGCTTTGAGTTTGTTTTTTTTTTTCAGGCAGGGGCTTTCTACTTGTCCCATGAGCCTTCCTGGCCCTGTGCTTTCCAATGCTTTAAGCAATGTAGCTATTTCTGATGAAAACTCACTTGGCAAGAAATACAAAATAGAAGAAGCTCTTGCTTGCCCCTCAGCTGAGGGAATAGCCTGGTACCTCCCTGTAGCTGTGGTTACACCAGCACTGGTTCCAGCAGATGTAGGAATAAAAGCTTAAATGCTACATGGTGATCCAAGTGCATTTTCAAAGTCACACAGCAGTGGGTGACTTTGCAGCAACCTTTGAGTAATTGACAGGGAAATGTCTTGTTAGTCTGGGAAAGGGAGGGAGCACTGAAAAGGTGACTCTGTAAACAGACGCCTTGAAGGCTGCAGATGTTTTGAAACCCTCCATGTAATCATATGATAAACTCTGTCATCCCCCCCACACCCATCTTGACCTGTTTGCTTCTCTGGGATCAGATTCATCCTGTAACAGGGAATGTTAGTGAGAAAACACATTCACACCCCCATATTCTCACTCAAGATGAAGATGTCTACCTGTGGGCAAAACAGCACCTTTTAAATTAGTGTTCTAATTTTCTCTCTACTTTAGAAATAGCCTCATTAGCTGACAAGAAACACATATATCTGCAAAGAGCCTGGGCTGCTGGAGCTGTGAGCTGCCTGGTCCCTGGGGTGGTGTGTGTTTAATTTATTCATCTGGCTTTTATAAGAGACAAAGTACACAGCTTGCCTTGAAATCAGAGATTGCCAAATTAACGGTTTCCAAAAAGCTACAATTTCAAGTTGTTCACAAAGAGGCCTGATACAGGAAGCTTTACAGATATTTAATATTTATAAGATCCCTTAGGATTTAACAAAGATGGCAGAATTTCTGGGCAACAATTGCTGTTCCTGTATGCACATCTGTATAAACATATTGGAATCAATTTTAGGTATGTTTTAATGTTATGCATTTTATATGTGTAGATTTTTTTCTAATGAAACATGAATGGAGCAGCAAACTCCATTTCTGGTTCTATTTTTGGGTTTTGTGTGTGTTTGTCCTTGATGTTTAATATCTGTACTAAAGCCTAGCCTGTCTGTGAACTCAATCAGTAATGGGTATTTGCTCCACAGGCCCTTTTTTTTAGCTTTGCTTCATAAAGTGTTTAAGAGACCTTGAGATCCTCTGGCCAGTGGCCCTACAATAACACAAGGTGCTCTTTGAATATGCCTACTGCCTCTAACATTCCCTACTTGCCAGCATCTTGTCTGGCTTTTATCTCTGGCTCTTCATTGTCAGGAAAAAGCACTTGACTCACAGTGTAGGGCCAGACACCAAGTCCTAGTGGCTTACAATTTCAGCAGAGGAGGGATTGATTGCTTCCAGGATGGATGATGGATACCAGAAAGACCGAAGGTAAAAGGCCATAGGAAGGATCCAATAAGTGGTCAAAGGCTGAAGGGGAAGAGTGACTCTAACAACAAAATATTGGAAGGGCTGCAGAAGACAATGTTGCTGGCAGTGGGCAGTTACTAGAGTTAAACCTAAAATCTGGTTCTAAAGTCTGTCATTTAAAAGGGTTCCAGGTACATCCTGTTGCAGTTGAAGGCTGTGAACGTGCTGGATTGGTCTGGAGAGCCCTCAAAATTAAGTTCAGTATAAAAATCTCCAAAACACTGGGAAAAACATTTGAATAGCTGTGAGGTGTTGACATGCAGCCCATGTATTGAAAAAAAAAATATGAATGCCAGGGAAATTTCTCCAATTCATTTGTGGAGAAAACTTTTAGAGACTCATGGTCTTAGCTGATGAGAGTCTGCATGTCTGAATTCCTTGGCAGCTTGCTAGGCTGAGTCCCCTGTCCTAGACCCTTAGCTCTCTCACATTGCCTGCTTTGTGTCTGCTCTCCCAAGGACCTGGAAGAATGCCCAGCTGGGAGAAGCCATGATCGAGAGCCTGGAAGCTCAAGGACTACAGCTGGCCAAGGAGAAACAGGAATATTTAGGTAGGAAACTCTTACTTTGAAAAGCAATAGAGGCCAAAATAGTAATTTTGCTTCTCCTGGAGTTGTCGCTGTGGTCAAGCCAAGCAGCTATAGGTTTTCTCTGGATGAAGCTTTTGAGCAGTCAGCTGAAATTCAGGTCTGAAGGGAGTCAAAACATGCAAAAGTTAAGGTGGGATCTGGACATCTATGTGGAGTGTAAAGGAGGAACCTGCTTTGCCCACCGTGCTGCAGTCCTCCATGGCTCATCTGTACAAACATTTGCCACCCCTGAGAGGTTTGGATGTGCTGGTTTCAGCTGCTCACAGGCAAACAGACAATACCTTTATCTCCCTCAATTGGACAGGACTGATACTTCTGAGGTTGGTCACAGCTTTTCATACATGAGTTTTCTTCACCTAGCTGGTGCTTTTTTTTGGTCTTACGCAACTTGATCTTTGTGTTTGCTGATGCTGTTCAGTTTGGAAGTGGGAGCATTTACATGGGCTTGTTTGAGGTATCTAATGACAGTGGCTAATTTGCCAGTGCTCTCTCTGTAGACAGTAGAGAAAGAACAGATGAACCTGAAATAATCTAGATATGAAGAAAGGGGATTATGTAATCCAAATCCCCTATTTAGGAACCAACCTCTGCATGGCCTGATACCTTGGATGCTCTGACTGCCTTGGCAGGTCCAGTTATCTCTTCCCTTTACTGCCTATAGGAACAGCCAAGGGAGAGCAGCTCTTTTAACCCAGATTCCCTCTGAGTTACAGCATTCCCCAGGTCTCAGAGACCTTGTGACCTGGGGGCTGTGGGTCACAGGTGTGGGCCCAGTGACTTGTCTGGAGAGTTATCTGCTTTAAATAAGATAGCAGAAATTTGGGTGCTTCAGGCTGGTGATGCTCTGAGCAGGGGCTCATGCTATCTACTCCTAATTGTCAAGCCACTGGAGGAATCTTACAGAGCTTTTTGCATTTCTGCAACCACACTGATCAGGGCTGATCTCAGCACATGTAGCAGTGATCATTGCTCAAGTACCAAGGTGTGTTTACTCTGTCCATCTGAACACCATTCACCCATGTGAGGTGATGGATGGGCCCATACATGAGGCAAGCAGGGAGAACTGGTTCCACACTTGACAAAGGAATAACAGGGGATGCTGAGAGGAGGACCTGAAGGGACAGAAATGGGAGGAAAATTAGAAACAGGAAAGTTCCACCAAAACATTCTTTTGCTACCATCAGAGCAAATGAAAGGGCTTTAAAGACTAAAGAACTCTTTAGTATGATAAAAGAAAAGGTAGTGGAGAAATAGAGGAATACACATACTGTGGCAAACAGGAGATATTTGGAATATAAAATATGTATCTTAGCAGGTTCTTTGGTCCATGACAAGAACATTGAGAGCTGGTCAATTGTCACAGTTGGCTACTTCCTTATGACATGAACTATTTCTGTATAAGTGCTAAGGCTTCTACCTCATTAACCTTACCTTCAATGATCTGTGTCCATCCTGTAGTCAAGCTTTGAGGTCAGGCACTGTTCCTGGAAGCAGGTCAAGGTTCTCTGGAGGAACACTCTAAGGAATTTCTCAAATCCACACTGAGTTATCTTCCACCCAGCTGGGATCCAGATTTCACTATCAGACATGGACATTACAGAAGCCCATCAGGTCCAGGGCTTGGGCCCTCCAGGAGGGGCAGCAGAGGGAAGGTGGGAGAGCCTCTGTAATTACAGTGCATCTGTGCTGGGCTCTGGCCAGGAGGAAGAGGGAGAGAGTGGGAAAGAAAGGCAGCAGTGGTGCTCAGCAGAGCTTTGGTAATGCAATACTATTTCTCTGGTACCAGGAGCCCTGCTCTGGGTAGGAGGTAGAGGTCTGCATTCCTCCTAGAAGTAGTCATGCTGCCAGCAGCAGCAACCTTGTCAGGTCCTCAGTACCAGGGAAACCAGTAGCACCTCACTCACCTCTCAAGAGGAAGACAGAAGTGCTCCAGTCAATCTGCCCCTGCTCCTGTGGCAGCCAGGTGGCAGAGCTGAGAGCTGAACCCGAGGCTTGACCACGAGAAGTGTTTCTGTCTGGGCTTCTGTAAGCTCAGAGCTGCCCGAGGCAGAGCCTCTGAGCTTGGAGCTGGCTCAGCAGAGGTGCTGCAGGCTGAGGACCAGAGCACAGCCTCTGCTGAGCGGCTGTGTCTTCAGGGGACAAGAGCAAATGTAGGGAACTGCTTCCTATAGTACAAGTTTTGTGACAAAGTTAGGGATTGATTTCTGGGCTCGGCTGGGACATCCCAAGGTGACAGTAGGGAGTTGGCAGTGCTGCCCAGAGAGCTAAGGACAGGATGATGGGCTAGGAAAGTGAGGATGGGGCACTGAGGTGCAGGAAAACTGACTGCTGCTACACGTTGTGTCACTCTCTGCACTCACTTGGCCTTTCTGTGCCTTGTTCCTTATCTGTGAAGCAGAGATAAGAATATTTTCCTGCCTCAGCTGGAGGATAGTGAAGGATGGTTCATCAAGGCTCTTTAAGAACATTGAGAGGAAATCTTAGAATGAGTACAAAGCAAGATGTTTGTTTAGTTTATTAAGTTATTTGGCAGGAGGGAAGTTATAGAAAATCCCGTTAGTGCCATCTCAGCCTTTGGACCCTCCCAGACAGATACACACAAAGGAATAGGGAATGATGCATTTTCAAGCTTCAAAAAGTCAGTGATTCTTGTTTGTAAATATCCTGAGGATATAAAATGCTTTTCTCTGTGCTTGGACTTTTTTTGTGTGCTTGCAGATAAACTAATGGAAGAAACAGAGGAGCTATGTCTGCAGAGGGAGCAAAAAGAGGTGAGTTCATCACAAGCCAGTTTCCTTCAGCTACCATGTGGCAGGGCTGGGAGGATGGGACTTGTTGAAGGCGTGTCAGTGTTCAGGGAGAGAGACTTGTGGAGGCACAAGAGTCTCCAGCCAATCTCTGGAAGAAGAGAGGAGTAAGACCTGTGCCGTGAGATAGGTCATGGAGGTGTATCCCTGCTCCCTTTCCCTGTTACTTTCCATGCAGCAGGTTTATCTTTGACTCCAGGGAGGAGGATCAAATGAAATTCATACTCACTGGATTGAATTACACAAGTGTTATTTGGAAGATTGTGGCAATAAAGTCCGTCCAGCATTCCCAGGGAGTTTTGGACCTTCTGTATATGTGTGGCAGAGTTGACTTCTGCAGGGAGTATGTCTGAGATTTCCAGATGCTTGGTAACCTGGCTGGGACTTCTGGATGTCTGAAAATCCTCAGGCAACCTCAAATCCTTCTAATTGCCCCTGGACAAAAGTGTGGTGGAGTCAGACACCGTGTAGCTCTACACAGCTTGGGTAAAACACCATGTTAAAAGTCCCAGGTGCTGTTAGCAGGGAAGCCTCTCCTAACTGTGTTGGCAGAGTACATCCCTGTCTTGGCAGAGTACATCCCTGTCTTCTCTTTGGAGCAGGAACTGGAGCGTCTGAACCAGATCCTGGAAGCAGAGAAGCAGCGCTTTGAGGAGGTGGTGCGGGAGCTGCGTCTGGAGCAGGAGGAGATCCGGCGGTATGGCCATGGGGCAGGGAAGGACACAACTCCCACACTGGGCAAAAGTACTGCTGTGGTGGTGAATGCAAACAGGCTGGAAACCCACCTGGTTTGTGCATTGACCAAAACAGGAGTGGCTGTGGGCTCTTTACCTGCATTTGCTATTGCTTTTGACCAGTAGAGCACAGCTCAGCTTCATTTTGCACTCGGGCCTCCAGCAATTTAATTTCAAGCCGCTGGGATACCAGCTACCCCCAGTTTAGTTGGGGTAGCATGGGACAGGTGCAAGAGAAGATTTCAGAGAGGCAATTAGTTCAGCTGACTGAGCAGCTGTGTGGGGTCCAGACACTGGATTTAGTTTGCCACCATCAGCTGAATGACAATTGATGTATGATGTTGCCTCACCAAGATTAGTTTTGTCGTTTTTGAAGTTAACTATGAAAAATATTAGCAGCAAATGTACTCAGAAATAGAAGAATCCAAGTGCTTTTCCCCAAGTGTTGAAAGAACATTTTTTACTCTCACTCTCTTTTTTTTCTTTTTTTCTCCCTAAGTAACATCTCAGAAAAGCCAGTGTGATTTTGCAAACCATTTTTGTTCTCACAGGCTCTGCTTAGATGTGATTGCCATGTCTGAGCTCTTTCAGTTGCAACCATGGCTCTGCCCTTGCTGGAGAAGCACAGTAACACTTGGGTTGGGTTTGATGATCAGGAGGCACAGTGAAGTTCCTGGCCACCTGTAGTGTGTCCAAGGCAGGATGTGATGTTTCCTGGCAAACTCCTGGCTCTCCAGGACTGGCTATACCAACCGATGGTTGCAGGTCCTGCACCAGGAGAGGCACAGCCTGTGGGGCTGTTTTTGCAATAGCTGTCACCCTTTTTGCTTCTTTAGGGAGCTGGAGCTCACAGCCCGCTCCCTCAAAGGAGTGGAGGAAGAGAAGAAAGAGTTGAGAAGCCTGACAGAGTCCTTACAGAACACCCTGGAGGTGAGTGACTGCTCCTGCCCTGAGTGACAGCATCTGGGCCTGAAAGCACTGCTGTCACACAGTATGATTCCAACATCTGCTAGTGCCAGGGTTGAAGTGCTGTGCAGATGAACAGATTCATTTGGTAGTTGATATGAACACCAAAATCCCCTGCAGAAAAGGATGAGAAATGGCACAGAGCACAACTGGACCAAGACTTTCTCAGCAGTACCAGGTGATGTGGTGATGGGACAATGGCCAGAATAAGTTGTAGTTTAGGAGGCTTAGGTGGGACAGCAGGGAGAGAATTTTCCCCAGATGGGCAGGCAGGCAGGCAGAGAGGCTGAGGAACCCTCATCCTGGACTGTTGTCAGACTATAAACAGCCACAGCTGACCATATCCTGCTGTGCTGCCAGACTGCCTCCGAACAGCAAGCTGGGCAGGAGCCTACTGGAAGGTCCCTTCCAGCCAGCATGACTGTAAGTCTGATGAGCTTTTTCTTTTTAACTGCATCTCTCTACCTTCTGGTGGAATTTGAAGCAGCAGAGGGGCATTCTTTGTTCACAGAAGGGAGCGTGATTCCCAAGGAAATCGTGTACCTGGGAATGTACATGGGAATCTAGGAAACAGAGTCTTGATGTATTAAAATCTTTCCTTACTGGTGGATTTATGGAAAGTACCTTTTCTAAAAGTATATTTTTTGTGAAATTTCCACACAGCTGGCATTCTGAAGCTGCAAGGTCATCTTTAATGTTTGTGTCAGATCCTGCAAGTTTGTCCAAAAATCTGTTCCTTTGAGCTCTTCTCCTTGCCTGCAGTTATGACAGAAAGAACTGGAATGCTATGGAAGTGCCATTCTTGCCCTAATTGCACATTGAACACTTCCAAGGCAAACCATGTGATGTGTCCCATTGCCCACATTTAGAAGTACCACAGAGGGGGTGCCTCCAGTTCCCACTAAGGAGCAAGCAGAGCAGGGAAGGCTCATCAAAGGGGCCTGCTGGTTCACCCCCTCGTAGCAAAGGCTGTATTGGAGGCTTGCTCCCCATGAAGCAGGTATGAAATGAAACCCAAATTTTGTTATTCCTGTGTTTACCTGAATGAGGCATGGGGATGCAAGGATGGAGGCACTCAGTAAGGAAGAACCAGGCAGGAACAGGAGCAGAAACATCAGACTTGGCTGATACTCACAATCTCTTGTCCTTCTTCAAGGAGCTCTCCCTGGAAAAACAACAAATGCTGGAGATGCTGGAAGAAAATGAGAGCCAGGTCCCACCTCCAACCAGCCCCAGCAAGGAGCAAAGCCCCATCTGGGGACTGCACTGCAGCCTGCGACAGATTGAGGAGAAGATGCAGCAACTTCTGCAGGAGAAACTCCTGGCAGAGAAAAGGTGAAGTGGGGAAAGAGGACACTTCTGCTCAGGCTTAGTGGTGCTGAAGGATGTGACTGTCTGCTGACTTGCTTTTTGGTTGCCAACACCAGACAAGTCTAGAAGCTTGTCTGGTTCCAATGGCAGGAGTCCAGGTTACAAATCCTTCAAAGGAGACAGAGTGAGGCAGGGCAGCTGAACTTGCACCCAGTTGGGCCTGCTCCTTTCAAACCAGGACTTGTGCATGTAAAGGTGTTCATGGTCTGTCCATAAGGAGTGTTTGGTAGTCCTGGGCCTCATCTGGGAGTTGAGAATGTTCCATTCAAGAGCTGTCCAGCTGGCTTTCTCCAGCAATGCCTGTGCTATTGGAATGGAGCGCACAGTGCTCCTGTTAGCATCTCTTTGCTCTGGGCAGTCAGGTAGTTGAGCATGCCCCATCATGACACTGAGCTCCTTTCCTTCCTGTGAGTTGTGTTGGGGTGGGAATGGTCATCTTTGTTTGCTGTGCCATGCACCAGGATGAAGGAGAATGAGGAGCGGTCTCGAGCACTGGAGGAGGAGCGCGAGTTTTACTCTTCCCAGTCGCAGGCGCTGCAGAACTCGCTCTTGGAGCTGACTGCAGAGAAACAGCAGGCAGAGAGAGACCTCAAGGTATCCCCTGCATACGTCACATATTGCTGTCCCTGGGCTCAGAGTGCTTCCATTTCCTCTTTCAACTCATTCTCTATCAAGCCAAACACTTGGTTTTATTTAGTTTTCACATTTTGGTCATAAATCTTCATTAGCTGTGCTTCATATTGCCAGCTGTATCCTGGCCTGCATCCAAAGCAGAGTAGCAGGCAGGGCAAGGGAGATGATTCTGTCCCTCTGCTCCACTCTGCTGAGACCCCACCTGCAGTGCTGCATGCAGCTCTGGAAGGACATTGACCTGTTGGAGTGAGCCCAGAGGAGCACCACCAAGGTGCTTGGAGGGCTGGAGCACCTCTCCAGTGAAGACAGGCTGAGAGAGTTGGGGCTGTTTGGCCTAGGGAAGAGAAGGCTCTGAGACAGAAACCTTATAGGAATTTTTACAATGTAGTGATAGGACAGGTGAGATTGGCTTCAAACTGAAAGAGGAGAGGTTTAGATTAGGTATTAGAAATAAATTATTTACTGGGAGGGTGGTGAGGAATTGAAACAAGTTGCTCAGAGAAGTTGTGGATATTCCATCCTGGAAGTGTTCAGGACTGGGTTGGTTGGAGCTCTGAGAAACCTGGTTTAGTGAAAATTATCCCTCCCCATGGCCAAGGGATTGGAATGAGATGATCTTTAAGGTCTCTTCCTACCCAAAGCACTATGATATCATGGTAACACATGAAATTGTCTTATATTTATGTAGTACTACTGTTTATTTTTGTATCCTGAAGCCTGATTAATCCATTCAGTACAAGTCTTTTAATCTGTTACTGTGAAAGCATAACTTATAGATGGAGGGAAGGAAAAAAAGTAAAAGAGGAAAGTAGACACCATCAAGAATAAAGATGATTTCAAATAAATGCTAATATGGTTGTTGCAGAACCATGCAGACATTTTGTCTCCTCACCTGTGCTCAGAAAAACAAACCTTAAGACTTTTAAATCTTCAGTAACCTCTGCAAGAACTTGGATTCAAAAGCAGAGGAATTCAGCTGAGGGACCAGCCCTACTTTGTAACTGACAGTACATTAATCTATGCAAAGGTAACTGGACAAATATGGTATTTTATTTAAATCTAAATAATGTAAAGGTTATGTTAATAATTGACTGTTTGACACTCAAACTCCTTATACAATATTTTGTCCACCCCCTGAGTTATTTTTTCCTGAACCTCCAATATTTTCTTATCTTGTCACCTTCTATCTACTTGACCAGACTAAAGCTAAGTTGACCTAAGCTGTGTAGTCTCTCATTTGCTAAACTAGTACAGTATTTCTAACTCCTCTTGTGTTTTGTTTCTGAAACTAAGCACTGTACATCCCTTTGTGGGAATTGGCTGCCTTTATGTCAAGTCTGTCTCAGCTGGATTGATGTCCTTCTGTTCCTGCTAAGCTGCAAGTACTTGCATTAGCACAAATTCATGTGTTGAAATACCATCTCTGGTTCCATATGGTTCATGCAAGGGGAGGAAAACTGTGAAAAATGAAGTCAGAGTAAAGTAATATTACTGTAATAATCTGGACTTCAGATTCTGTCTGAAAACATGAGAAATGCCTTTATATTGCCTTGCAATACTTCTAAGGATTTCCATCACTGTTGTCTTTTCATTTTTATCCATGGCAAGTTCCTCACAGACCTTGTGAGTTACCCAGATGTTTACTGAGAAACAAGCTGTTTTCCAGCAATTCTTATTTTCTTCCTCAGGCTGAAGTGAAGGTACGCATGGATCTGGAGAAGAGACTGAGAGAGGCTGAGGAAGCCTTGCAGAGCTTGGAGCAAGGCTTAAATTCCCTGAATTGCAACAAGGAGAAAGAGAAGAAGATGAAAGCAGATGTCAGTAACTTGAGAAGTAAGTTAGTCATCCATGTTCTCTACTGATGAGCAAACTCACTAGAGGAAATATTTCTACCTTCCCAGGCACACAAAGAAGATTCCAAATTAGCAAAGCTGCAGATAAATGTGGTCTCCCAACTTCCTGTACCTCCACCACATCTCCCTTTTTAGGAGCCATAATGTGCTATGCAGGTAGTTGATGTTTTGCCCTCAGAGAAGGTTGAAATTATTCCAGCCTCTCAAAGGAGCATTAAATTATTCCAGCCATCTCTGCTGGGTGGAAGACAAACCTAGAGATGAGCAAATCATCTTGACTTTCCAAAATGTCAAACAGGGAAGCTGTGGCAGAGCTATAAAAACTGACTACTGACTAGGTCTGAGTTACAAGGAGTCCTCTGATTCCCCTCATGGCTTTATTTCTCAGCCTTGGCTAAAAGAATATCACCAGTTTAAGGAGGCCTGTGGTTGCTGTAGCAACGTGCTGGTGGGTGACCCAGCAGGTGAAGTTTGGATCTTTACTCAGAGCTGAATCACAGCATCAGCTCAGCACTACAGAGCATGGGTCAGGTGCAGACTGATGCTTCTCACAAGTTATCCCTGTTTCTTTGCCTTTTTCTGATTTGTTTGGGCTGGGTCTTTTTGAGTTCTCTTGGGGGGCATTACCCTGGCATTTGGCTTCAGTCAGGCTTGGGAACTGACATAAGCAGCTTCAATTGAGTCAAATCTTGCTTGTTTTGCATGCCCTGCAAGTTATAGTGCAGGGAGAAGGGTTTATTAAGGTGCTAGGTCTGTAGAGTTAAGGCTTCATTTCAGTGAAGGGTGGATGTACTGGACTAATATAGAAAAGTCAAAAAGTCTTGTGGTATTCTGAGCACTGTTAGGTAAATAGGGAAAAATAAATGTATAAATAGTTTTATATCTATTCACATACTTATAATTTATATATATTTAAATTTTAAAAGTATTATTCAGTAGTTTCTACATAAGATTTCTAAATGGATAAAAACAGTCATGATTCTGAACTTCACGCCACTGGCTCAGGGCCATGGTAAGAAAACAGAGCGAAAGTGGATGTGTTGAGCTCAGCATTCAAGTGGAGCTTCACAAGGCATACATGAGTAACTGGTACTGAATGTCTCCTGATATTTCCAACCTTAGATTTTGTGAGATGTTTTTTTCAAAAGAGTAAAAATGTACTGATGAGCAGAGCACTAGAGAAAATAAGGGACCAGTAATGTTTCCCATAACGTTAGTCCCAGCACAGATTGCCTCAGTCCTTCCAAGTGGTTCCTGCAGCTCTGCATGCCCTTTGTAGAAGAGTTGGGGCACATTAGCACATGCTGGTTTTGAACAGCAATGGACCAGCAACAGGCAGGAGGACAGCAAGACTGGAATGGCAGAATAGACACTGCTCAGACCATAAGAGGGGAAATGGGGCAGGAAAAGCAGTTTGTGTGGCAGATCAGGGCAGAATAACGTCAGAGTTTGGGCATAGGGCTTTCCTTGGAGCCCATAATATATGTAACTATGCGCTAGTATTTGCTATGCTACTAAGAAATCCCTCACCATGTGTGCCCGTGCTGGTGTTGCCAACACTTGCCAACACCTTCCTTTTCCAGTTAGTCCTGACTGGTTTTAGAAGTCCTTCAAAGAAAGTATAAAGAGCAAGGCTTCAGAGTTGAGAACTTCTATCACAGTATAAAAGGCTTTTGGCAGTTGAGTCATGAGCAGTTGTGAGGATTACTGATGTGGAATGGATGACTGTAGTTCTTTCTAAATTTGAGTATACATTTGTTAGGAACTGGAGGGTTTTGTCACTTTGAAAATGAACATTTGCAAATGTTCTTCCTGATGGTATTCTGGAGCTCTATGGATTGTTGCTCATGAAGGTCATCATTACCTGGTTCAGCCCATCAATGAGTGCAGTCCCTTGTGGCTGGTTCATTGCTTGGGGTGTCTGCCCCATCACTGTAACAGTGGTGTTCTCTTCCCAGAGTTCTTTGAAGAGTGCATCCGCAATGCTGAGCTGGAGGCCAAGATGCCCGTGATCATGAAGAACTCTGTGTACATCCACAAGGCTGCCACTCGCCGCATAAAGAGCTGCCGCTTCCGCTGCCGGAGAACCAGCGCCTCCTGGAATGACAGTGGGTGTCGGGCAGCCTTCTCCTTCACATCCTGCAGGAGCAGATATGTGCCCAGGGGGCTGGCAGAGCAGTCACATCTGCAAATGTTGTTTCTATTCCATGTTCCTTAGCAGCAGAATGGAGCCACTGTGCTACTTGGAGCTTCCTTTCCCAGAAAACAGGCACTGAGCCTGTGTACTTGTTGCCCCTTTCTTTATATATGTTGAAAGCTAAACTTCTGTGATGGTCTTGGGCCCCTAAAAAAACATACTTAAACATGACTTCATCAGAATGCCTAATCACAGACTGAGTTAGGCTCAGTCATGCTGGTCACATGGCTCGTGAGCTCTAGTGAAGCTTTATCTTTCAGTTTGTGTCCCTAATGGAGAGTGCTTACCTTTCTGTCCTGTTCTTGTTTCAGTGAAACAGTCACAGTCCTTCATGTTCTCACCTGCAGAAGCTGAAAATATTGAAGAGCTGAAAGAAGCAGCCAAAAGACTGAGCCGGGACCAGCGCTTTAGGAAAACTATCTATCAAATCATGAGGTCACAAAAGGATTCTGCTTCAGGGGACAAAAAGTGACTCTTCCTGGGAGGGGGGCTTCTGAGATCAACCTGCCATTCAGCTCTGCAAAAGTTACAGCCTTGGGCACTAGGCTCAGAAGGGAGATCTGGCATTTGGTGGGCAAGGTGGGGGAGAATTGTGTGTAGGAAATCCCTTGAGTTACTGGCTTTGCTTTAGTTTGAGTGCTCCCTGCAGTCTGGCAGACCTTCTCTGCTGATCTCTCCAAACCTGTTTGCTTCAGCTGCTTACACTAAGCCATGTTTGGCCAACATGCCACAGTCGGTGTTCAAGTGAACCAGAGACCGTAGCTTAGGAAGTGCCTCTCCTTTCCTTTCCTTCCCTGTCTGGTCTGTCTGCCAAACACAAGTGCTTCTGAGGAAACCTTTAGCAGCCTATGTTCCAGCTATATAATCTCCTCAGCTGAACACAGCTCACCCTATTCTGCCTGATCCCCTCTAGGAGCTGCACACCCTCAGTAAATCAGCACTTCGGTGGGGGACGTGTCCTGAAGACTGCAGCAGTCCCACCCTTCCAAGCACAGGCAAAAGTATCAAACACAGGGCCAAACTTTTTGTCTTGATGCCACATAATTTCGAGCAAACGGCAACAACACAAGGTGACGACAACAGGAGGATGCTGTGGATTTGGGTCCAAGGAGGATCATGTACAGAGAAGAGTTTATAGGTAACTCAATGGCATCCATGCGAGCTGGAGGGAGGGTTCTGTTGTGTTGATGGTGGGCAGAACATTCCAGGGCCACCTTTGCACATTTTTTTGCACTGCAACATCTAGCTGTGTCAGAACTAGGGAATGTATTAGCTCTTGGCTATCTATTCCTCAGTGTGAAGAAGCCTTTGACTCAGTTTTGATGGCTTCCTCAACACCTCACTTGTAAGGTGAGTTGGAGGGCAGGAGGGTGAAGACTGTCCAGCAACAAAACCCACTGCCACTTCAGGCAAGCTGCAAGGGCTGTGGAAGAGGAGTCCAGGAGAGGAGTCACTTTGTTGTGGAACCCCTTGCAGCCTCCCCCACCTATTTTAAGCAAGCAGTTGGCTAATAATTACCCATGCTGTAGAAGCAGCACTGCCTGGTGCTTACAGACCACAGGATAAGCATGCTCAGAGTGACACCCTGTTTTCTCCTGCGTATTAATTGGGAAATTAAGAAATAGACAATACAAAGGTGAATAAAGTAAGCAGCAGAAGTACAGTTAGGGGTTAGGGGGTGATAAAGTACAGGTTTACTGTACCTTTCATGGCATCAGGACCCCTGGGTATTATGTATGTCCAGTGACACACAGGTGGTTGCTTGCTACTGTCCCATCCAGACTGTGACAGTGTCCACTTATAGCCTTTGGCTTCTGGCCACCTACATAATTCCCTACCAGTTTAGTGTTGTTCCTAGGGAGAAGTCAAGGATGAGGCTGGGAAGCAAGCCTTGGCTTACCAGCCAGAGGAGAGTGATTAAAGCTGATTGGAGGAACATCCTGTGACAGTGTGATGCTCCTGGATGGAATCACTCTAGTGTGACCAGAGGAAAAGCTTTGAAAACACAGCCTGCACTTCCCATTTCAGTCAGTTACTGAGCAGTATCCTTCTGCCAGGCATTGGGAGGTTTCATCCAATAAGAGGATCCAGCTCTGAAGGAGGATGTTTTTGTGATAATAAGTGATACGGTAGGAGAAGATTGTTTCCATCCTTCCTTAGCATACCTGATCCTTCTGTGGTTTATCTACTTGTGTTTATATGCTAGAAAGCCACAAATAAATTCTTGCTCCTACAAGGCTGAAGGGCTGTGATAAAGAAGCAATACAGAAATAGTTTTTTTCCTTGATGCTGCTCCCAGATAATCTCTGGCTATTTTCCAGTTACAAGGTCTATATTAGGTGATACTGGAAGGAACATAATAAAGGATAGCTAGGGAATGCATCTGTAATTCAGGCAGTTAGAAAAATCACCCTGTGGCCTGTGAATACAGCATTTTTGTTCTATTACCATCAAAGCCACAATCTCTGATTCTTCAGAAGTATTGTATGCAGGAGGTAGTCACATCAGGTACATCAGGTCTTCCTTTACTGTGCATATTGACAGCAATAAGTAAATAAAAGTTATGCTGACGCTAGAATGAATTCCTGTGTGTTCTTGATACACTGTCACCAAAATGATGTTAAATTGTCTCTGCAGGAGTTCAAACAAATCATTGTGACACTCTCATTTACTGCCAGTGCAGTTCCTCTGCTTCACTGAGTTGCTGTGTTACGTGCTTAACATCGCCTCTCAGAAGGATTGGCCGTATGTAAAAAGCTTTCACCCTTGCTACCCACTTTTAAATTGTGTATAAAGTTAAAGCAGACTGTATCACATCTGAAGCAGAAAGCTCCCACTTGCTTACCTGAAGTCAGTGAGCAACTCTGTATGTAACCAGCAAGATGTGCCCTGAGCCACGTGTGAGGAGGTGCTTTCCATCAGTCATTCCCTGCTGCACAGGAATCTACTCCCCTGTAATCTCCCTGGCAGAGCCAGCACGGAGCTGCCTCTGTGCACCACAGCATCTGAATTAAGTGACTGTCTCCTTTCAAAGGACACAGAAATGACTGATTCCAATGTTCTCTGTGTATTTTTAACACAATGCAGTAACAGGAAGATGGCTTAGGAAGCTCCCCTCTGTTCAAACGACCTCCACCAGTAATCCTAGGCTGCTTTCTTCTGCTGGGAAAACTGGGAAGGGGGTAATGACTTCCTCCAATGAGAAGCGTTCTCTAACTTGTTGTGTCTGAGGATAGAAGAAAATACAGGATGGTTTGCACCTTTAAGATTTCACTTCAGGAGCTGCAGAACACCTACACTGGCTCTGAAAATCCTGTGGCCATTCTTCACCACCTCCACCTTCTGTGCAACACCTGGGAACTTTTCTCTCTGAAGATGCTCCCTGTTGTTCCTGTCAGAAACACTGCCAAGTGTGAAGCCTGCTGATTTCCTCTGCATTTTCCTGGCTACTTTTCACAGTGTGAAGGATGGATCCTGTTAAAACTTCAATTAACTGATTTAAGAGTTAACTTCATCCTCCTTGTAAGATGCACAGGCTGTTTCAGTCCCTAGTGAAGAAGAGTGGTTCCTGCTGGAGTGCCCACCACCCCAAGGCTTTGCTCTTGCACAGAAGTTAATGTCAGAGAAAGAAAGGCAGCCCTAGCCCTGTTGCCCCCAGTCTGTGCTTCTTCTAAAGCAGAGAAAGTGGATAAGAAATGGAAATTGCCCTTGGGGTCAGAAGTGGATAATGAAGGATAAATGGTTGCTGGTGCATGTTGTGCATTGCTGTGCGTGGCACACAAGTGACATAAGCTGGTAGCAATTTTTAGTGACAAAGTATGGCTTTTTTTTAGCTCCAGATAGTAGGCAGGCTTTCTGCTTAGGACTTAGTGTAATATTAGTGTATCTCTATGGAAATAAGATGATAGATTTCCATGGGAATAGTCTGTTTTGAATGTTTTCAATGCTGTCACTTTTTGTGGTTGTTAGAGGGACAGAAGCTGGCTCATGTTGTACCCAGTAAGGAGAGGTTTGCTCCCAGGAAAGTGGCCCATGTTCTGAAAGTCTTGCCCAAGGCAGGGGCTTGCCTGGACTCTCAGTGCTCCTTGGTGCTGATGTGCCTGTGAAGGATGCATTCATTCTGGCATCTTCTTCCTCATGCACAAGGACAACTCTGCAGTTTTTTGCCCAGTCTGTGTATGATTTTTTTACCTACCTAGTCCGAGCATGGATTTGAATGGGTGAAATGACCAAGCAAGAGGAATTGCTGTAGTGAGTCACCTGAGAGCTGGGTCTGAGGTGGCCTGTTGGGGTGACAGTCACCACGACTTCAGCCACTATGTGTGGTTTGTTGAACAAACCAGTGCGGTGTGTTTCTGTGTACTGAGATAACATCCCCTTTTCTATATTAAGTAACACTTACTTCTTACTGCAGGCTTATCTCCACAACCAGAATGCAGAAAGATCCAACTGAGTACTCAGGTCTGTGAGTCCTTTCTGCTCTTTGCAGGAGGATACAGTGTAGTGCCTGAACCAACATTCAGATTTTGGATTTTTTTCAGTATTGGCAGATATGGCACTTCAAAGGAAGAAAAATTATAAAGGGCATTTTGTGGGGGTAACAAAGGCACCTTTTGCTAACTCAGAGCTGTTGCAATAAATAACTCAGCAAGGTCATGTGCTCTTCTTTTGCTGTATCCTGAAAAGTGCAAACCTTGCATCGCTTAAATTGTAAGTGAACTCTGCTTACCCTTGAGTTCTTCTTGACTGCACCCCTGCCTCAGACCTCTCTGTGGAAACCACCCAAGAGTGGCGGGATATGTCCTCTCCTAGAGCTGCTCTTCTCGTTGATTTCTTCATCATTAATTCTGGGGTGGGAGAGAGCTCCCTGTTCCTCCACACGTCAGTGGCTGCCCACAGAAGGTACAGCCCCTGCCTCTCCAACATGAGGAAAACAAGTTCTGTTTTTTGTTGTGAGATTTTATATCCAAGTTCTGCAAATAGGAATTAATATTTTTGACATCATCATGTTAATAAGGGGGTTTGGAAACAAGCTCTTTGTGGTGGGTGTGAGCAAACTGACTCCCTGCAATGGAATTAGGCCCTGTTCAAAAGAGGTTCTGACTCTCAGCCTTGATGGAATAAGGCTGGAGGCTTGTGCCAGTCACTGCTGAAAGCACAGCCATGACCAGGGTGATAGCATGTTTGGCAGAACTCTGTCTTTGGGACAGCTCACAGGGCATTCAAGGTCCCTGGGTGGCAGAGATGGGCTGTGCTTTTAGGTGCTACCAGCAATAAAAATTACATAGCAACAAGATGAGAATGCTGTGGCTTTTGTAGCAGAGTAGAGGAGCAGGCTTTTAATGCAAAGATTGCCTGAGATTGATTGGATTGTAACTTGCTTGGGAGTAGCCACTATTTTAATTTCTCCTTTCCTTTCCTGATTGTGCCAAAGGCACACCACATGCTTATCGCCGGCAATGGGAGCTTGTTGGAGGCTCCAACAGGAAGGAGATTGAGGGGTAGGAGTGCAGGAGGTGTGACAAGCTGGAGCACTGCTGACAGTTGACAGTTGCTGTACTTCAAAAACAAACTGTGTGCCTTGGCAAACACATTTCAATAACCTGAAGACGGCTGTTCAATTTCCCAGCAAGCAAAAAGCTTATTGAATCCAACCAAGGAGTCCAGCCCCAGGTGCTCAGAGAAGAGGAGTCTGCAGCTTTTCTCCCTTCTCCTCTCTCCCCAGTTTACATGAGGCATGCCCTGTGATGCAGGAATACAATCCCTGTGATTCAGGGACGCGCTTAGGGTTATACTTTGTGGGTAGCTGTGTTTACACAGAGGCTGCTCAGGGGAGCTGAAAAAGTGCTGGAAAGCTTTTGGATATCTAAACATGTACTGGAAGATATTGGAAATTCCTGTAACTCTCGAGGGATTTGGATGTTCAGAAACTCCTCAGGCCTGGAGCAGCAGCCCTCTAGATCCCTCTCTGATCAAGTGTGTGGTACTTCAGAGAGATGCTGCAACCCACAAAGGGATGTGGGGAATGGCAGTGAAGGCTGCTTTTCCTTCTTCTCCTAAATTTCTCTTGCAGTGGTTTTCTCCCTCACACAAATACAGATCAAGTGTGGTTTAATGTGAAACTTATTTTAGATTAAGAGAAGAAATGTGCAGGCTGAGCTATATTTCCTGCCTGTGTAGGGGGAACGTGGGCTCCAAAATGAGGACAGAAAATTCTCAGCCATTCAAAGGTATCACAGATGGGTAAAATAATTGTGCTTATCACATATATCAAGCTTGGATAAGGGAGAGTGGTGGGATACACTGTATTTGAAGCTTGAAGTCTTGCAGTAAGGGAGAATGAATTTGTTTGGTGAAGGAAATGTTTTAGTCCCTTGCCCTGGCTGATACTGAAGGAACTAGAAGAGAACATGCACACTTAGTCCACTTCAGCATGTGGCTGGCTCCTGGTGCTGGCATGGAATTAGTTTTGATGGCTGCTAGCTACACAGAAAATCCTTCCAGCTGTGACCAGCTGCTGCTGAGTTGTACCCTTGCTCAGAAACAGTGGTGGTGGTTGTGGATCCAGGAAGCACCCTCAGACCTGCATGCCCCAAAGGATGTGCATGATACGTCTCCTGACACACTCACAGCTCCTCCATGTCATGGGAGCCTTTGGCTTCCCCTTGCAAGTGGGCATGAGCTCAGCTTGCAGCTCTGCTGCCACCCAGGAGCAGAGAGCCCCATGACCACAGCTTGAGCTGCTCCTGCCATCCCGCTCCTTGGATCCCAGCACCCTGAGGCACACCTTGCACCAAGATTTCAGTAGCACAGTGGAAGGAAGCAGTTTAGTGAGCCAGCCTTAGGAGAGGCTACTGGGAGCAGGGGTGGGAGCTATTCTATTCCCTTCCTGAAGGGAGAAGAGCATCTCCTGATCCTGGTCCCCATAGTGCTCTGCTGTGAGCTCCTGGTTCAGCTCCTAAGTGCAGCCTGGCTGCCAGGGGAGATGTGTGTGGGCTCTGCCTCATTCCCGGACCAGGGAACCAGAGAAGGGCAAGAAAGAACTGTTGCTTTCCGTGTGAATGGGAAAGAAAGATCTGTCCTACCAGGGAAGCAAAGAATAGCTGTTGTGGGTAGAACTCTGCAAAGGAGTGAAGTGTTCTGAAGACAGGAGGGAGCAGACCTGAAATACACTTCTGGGCCTTGGTTCTGGTGCACTGCCCATACATAGCTGGAGTTTCCATCCTGTCTGTGCTTGAAGAGGATCACAGATCTAGCAAACAAATACTGCTTTACACAGTGAGTATACACCCTGCCCTGTCTATCCAGCTCTCCCTAGCTTTTAACAGGATTGCAAGCTGGCTGTTCCTCACCTTCCCCTCCAGGCTACTCCCTCAGCTTTCTGTTTACTCTTCTTTGCTTAACTGGAGCTGTCTCCCCTAGGTGAAAATTAGCCTCACCCTGGTGGGGTTTGCAGCACCCAGGAACAGTGGGAGGACACTTCTGCCATGGTGGGGATGGGGGTGCTGCTCTCTTTGGAGTGCAAAGGAGGTGAGACACGCCCTCATAGCTGCTCATGC